CATTGCCAGAAAGTTGGAATTTCATGACCATCTATGCTTTCGAGTCGATCAGCGATCAGTTATAGATCGCATGCGAAAATTGATAGCCATGTACCGTAAAAAAGAGAGAGAAGAAAGATCTGCAAGTGGAATTTCTCCAGAACGTGATGAGCTGGATGACTTGCTAGAGGAAATTAATGCTAGAGAGGAGGCAAATGATGTTGTGGCTGCTAAAAGGAAGAAAACTGATGCTGATAAACTAGCTGCAGAATAAATGCGAAAAAGAGCCATGGAGCATCTATCAGAAACCAAGCAGAGAAAAGAAAATCATGAGGGTCCGGTTAAGAAAAAAGTTAGAAGAGGGGGGGACTCAACCTTAGATTTCCTAAAGGAGAAGTCTAAGAAAGAGAGAAAAGTAAAAGAGGACAGTTTGCTTTTGGAAAGAGAAAGACTGGAATTACAGAGGCAACAAATAGCAGCCGAAAAAAAAATCAGGGAGCAACTGATGGAAAAGCAAAACAAGCAATTTGAGAGTTTTATGGAAATTTAAAGACAGGAGAACCAACAAATGCCACAAAATCAATTGCTTTTGGTACAACAACAACAACAACATGGGCAAGCTTTGATTTCCTTTTAAATTGGTTGAGAAATGAGATAACAATGTCTCTAACTTGTAGACAATATGTTTTCTTTAAACAGTTATTTATTTATTGTTGATAGGCTTTATAATCACATGATGAAGCTTTTAAAAATTAGGAAAAGTACATTTGAAGTGAAGGTGGTTCAAGTTGAAAAATTTACTGGTTGTATTTGAGTGCAAGCAGGTCAGAGCATTTCTAAGCAATGAAGCCACTATATAAATTTTTCCAACACAACTAAGGCTGATTTATAGATCTTTTTAAAATCAAGAAACTTAAAATAGTTTATTATGTCCCCAAAATCCACTCAACTAATATCCTTACAGCACTCATTGATTTTTTAAATTCTTGCATGTGGACTGTAAGTTGCCTGTTCCTATATGGTGCTTGTAGGAGCATACGCAATAAGTAGGCTGGATCACCATACAAGCACATGGGTTTATCATTGTAAAAGGCATATAATTATAGAACCTGCAGTAGTCCTGATGAGGCTAACATAGCAGAATCATGCCTTTTTCCTTCTATAAAACAAAAAAATTAAATGAAAGTCAAAGTAAACATAAGGATATTAGTCAAACGATGTGCTTACCAACTGCTCCAAACAAATTGGCTATCATTCCATTAGGAAGAGTGATCGATTGAAACTTTATAGCATGTACCCTCTTATGACCATTTTACAGTAAACTTTGCATTTCATCTAGATGGCAAATTGGCCTCACTGTGCCATCAATAAAACCAAAACAATTGTCTAAAGCTCCTCCTTTCTGGTGAATTGCTTCAGCATAAATTTTCAAGTTATTGGACTCAGTAAATCGTGATTCCAATTTGTTATTTTTTCCCCATGCCTTTCATAAATAAAATCTATCACAGAATTGGTAATCATGCTAAGTTCAGGCACAGATCTACCAAATTGTGATACCAAGTCACTGCATCTGCAAGGATAAGCAAAACGACGAAGGGCTATGCAAAGAGCCTCAATTCCAGTGCAAACTGTTCCTTGCTTGCACTTGAATTGGTAAAGCAAACCTAAAGCTTCAACAAGCAGCGGTATTTCATGCTTTTTAAAACAAAAATCCAAAAAACAGGTAACTTCGTCTATTTCTACCAGATCAATTGATGGATAATCATTGTGCATTATTTCAGGATTTTTCGAACGGCAAGAATCGTATAGTAAGACAAATTCCTCGTCATTAATTAAAGCTGCATCATAGGCAAAAGCGATAGCAGTTCTTGCATTTCTGAATGACGACATTTTTAAATACTCTAAAATGATGTTGCTGAAACTACACACGTCGCCCAGTCAAAAACTTAAGTCAAAATGTATAATCTACGCCGTCGCGTCTCGCCCCAGGACGTGCGCGCACAACTAGCGTCGTTTAAAAGCGCGTCGTAAAATCTTAAGGTCCCTATTAACAACGCCGATGACCGAAAAATCACCTTGTACTAACGTTCATCTTAACGTTTAGAAAACGTTGTTTCAACGTTACAACATAACTTCCTTACCGAATGTTAATTTTAACGTTTAACCAACGTTGACACAACGTGGTTAAAATTTGAATAAGAAAAACAACGTGGTAAGAACGTTGTATTAACGTTATGTCATAACGTAACGTAAATACAACCTTCAGCCAACGTTAAAAAAACGTCGTGTGCTAACTGGGGGTTTTGTGAAAGTATCTTGCTGGGAAGTCACGCATTCGTGGTGAAAAAAAATACGCCACGATTTTAGCCAAGTGGGCCTTCTGTTAGATGTCTTTCTGTGCTAGAACGTTGAACCTTGGAAGGTGTATATTCGTATATTCAGGCGTGGACGACTGATCTCTTTTGAAAGTGTATTTGCGGGGGAGGCAACGTCTGTTGGTAAGGACATTAAAGGTTTACACGTATTATTTTTTACTGTGGAAAACCTTAACATGCTAATGACTCATAGAAACCTGTATTACAGTTCTTTGTATTTAAAATTTTGAAAAAGGCACAATCTGCGTTCTTTTTTTAAGAAATTCTTTTGCAATTGTCTAATTGCAAATTTCTGGCGCATATCAAGCGAAAGGTTATCGTGCTGATTTTCCATATCTGCGAATATAATATTGAATAACTTTTGAGAAATCTATGCATGGAATGAGATCTTACAGCAGATGCAATAGTTAATGGAAGAAGCAAGTATATATGCAAACAAAATAAAGAAAGTAAGCAGGTAAACCTTACAGAATTTTCAGCTTTAAACAGTTTTTTAAGCTGCATAATTAGTAAAATAAATTGAATATTTACTGTCTATATAAACTGTGAATATACTCAAAGCTTCATTGACTTTGACCACAATGAGTTTCTATACATTATGTTTGATAATTATAACGGTTGCTAAGAGAAAAACGTTCATGCTGACTTTATTGCTTTACGTTTGCCGATAAGAAATTTACAAAGAAGGCTCTAGCACAAAACCTTAACGTCATTAAACCATACACTTTAACCCACATATTAAGAGAGCGTGTAACAAAAAAAGATTTCCTGAGGGAAAGTGGCGTGAACGAACATTCATCGACAGTATCTCTGTATAGAGAACATACAGTAGGACCAGTCCATTTAATTTTGACGTGCCACGTATATCTTACTAAGCATGTGATTAACATATTGGCATCCAGTAAATTGCATTTTGTGACTAATTGGATTAATGATATTGTAAACGGCAGCCAGTAAACTAAATAAATATACAGCAGCCAGTTGCACAGCGAAGTGGCCCTACTGTATATTCCTATACTGTGACAGTATAAACGATTAATATGGAGGTCACAATAATCATAACAATATCTTTGTAAATAATTGCAAAGAACTTGACTGTACACAATATGTAATTTTAAATAATATTATGATTTAACATCATAGTGTTTAAATAACTTGCTTCAGACCTTGAAACCAAGCGAAAGGTTATGATCAGTGGCGTATCTAGAACGTTGAGCCTTGGAAGGTCCATATTCGTAAATGCAGACGTGCTCGACTGATTTATTTTGAAAGTGTATTTGCGGGGGAGGGGGAGGTACACTTCTAGGGAATTCGCCTGTTGATAAGGACATTAAACGTTTTCACGTACTGTTTTTAACTGTTGGAAAAACTTTTACCATGATAACGACTCATGGAAACCAGTATTACAGTTCTTTGTAGTTAAAATTTTTGAAAAAGACATAATCTGCGTTCTTTGAATTTAAAATGAGCAGCTTTAATTTATTTTGCTCGCTGCTGCTCGCTGTGACTACCCCTAGATCCACTACTGAAACAAATATAGAAAGTAAGGAGGTAAACCTTCAGAATTTTTAGCTTTAAACATTAGTTTTTTAAGCTGCATACTTCATAAAATAAATTGAATATTTACTGTCTATATAAACTATGAATATATTCAAAGCTTTATTGACTTTGACCACAATGAGTTTCTATACAACATGTTTGATAATTAGAACGGCTGCTGAGAGCAAAACGTTCATGCTGACTTTATTGATTTACGTTTGCCGATAAGAAATTTACAAAGAAGGCTCTAGCACAAAACCTTGACGCCATACACTTTAACCTACACATTAAAAGAGCGTGTCACAAAAAAAAAAGATTTCTTGAAGGAAAGTGGCGTGAACGAACATTCATCGACAGTATCACAGTATAGAGAACATACAGTAGGGCCAGTACATTTAATTTTTACGTGCCACGTATATCTTATTACGCATGTGATTACCTTATTGGCAGCCAGTAATTGGCATTGTGTGACCAATAGGATTGACGAAATGGCAAACGGCAGCCTGTAAACCAAATATACAGCTGCCAGTTGCACAGCGTAGTGGCCTTACTGTTTTGTCTTATAATGTGACATCAATAAGGATTAATATGGAGCTGAAAATATTCATAACAATACCTTATGTAAATAATTACAAAGGAATTTGACAGTATACAATATGTAATTTTACATGAGATTATGATTTAATTATAATGAATCACGATATGTTCACATGATGAATAATTTGTATATCTACATGTATTGTTGAATTTAGAAAGTCCTGTCACAACTTTAATGATAGTGTTGTTCACTGTGTCGTCATTGCTTAAGATTTATTATACGCAGAGTTAATGAATCGCTGATTATTTCCATATTTATAGATAATAGTACAATCAAAATTACACAAGAATATAGACCACATTTGTATATCTACATGTATTGTTGAAATTCCACACATTAGTTTCTAAATTATCATATGCAATACAATCATTTGTGTGACGCAGTAGTTACATAATCACGTATTTCATTATTTCGTGACGCACGTGCGAGAAAACGTAATAGCAAGTATTTTATTGGTTTTTGGACATGGCGTTGCCGACACGCGTGGAATTTTCTGATGATAGAGTATAACAAGATCCTGTTTTCTTTGCTTTTATCATTTCCGCTACATAGTGAGATGTAAAAGAAGCCTGTGTTTGGTAAAGAATTTCAAGTCCCACCTATTCCTAAACGTACAGACAAAAAGGATCGGACGTAGGTGAGAGAAATTGTTTCTTATTTTCTTGATTTGTACTTGTGCTTTTATGAAATTTACTAAATAAAACCAAAAATATTCACCAAATATTGGGAAGTAGTATAAATACCGGCCAAATGTAGCTGATAAATAACCAAAGAAACAATAGCCAAATGTGATTTTGTTTAAGTTGAGAGTGTGAACCTTGCACGTAATTCGAAAGATATTTCCATACATGTTGTCAGCGTAAACTCTTGTTTCACATTTTCACATTTTAAAGGTAACGTTGCTTTGTTATGACTTTATTTAAATCACATATTGAATTTACACGTAGCGTAATAAATATAGGTGAAAGCTCATATCCTGAATACATCTAAAATCACAATGTTTGCAACTATTTTATGAAGGATATCAAATCATTTAACAGTAAGATTCTTTTCATAGTAATTCAAGAATTGCATAGATATTTGTTGTATGTTCACTTTTAATTGCTAAAACTAATACATTTTTGTGGATGATGAATAATTGTAGCTAATTAAACACATGATTCCGCAGACAAATTTTATATCAGAACTTCTTGCATTCTGTATACTACATATAATGTTGACGAAAAGTTATGAAAGTTTAATAACTCTACCGCATTTCATGTCATTTTCAATTTGTGCATTTAAGATTTATAAAATTATACGCAGTGGGAGTCTGTTCAAAATCATTCAAGAATAGCGTAGATATTTGTAATATGCTCCCATCACCTTGGCAAGCAAAGCTGTCAACAAAGACCCTTTGGTACAATTCTTCAGGGAATTTTTTGAGAAAAGTTAGCATTTCATTCTCTTAAAATCGGTCCTCTTGTAGATAAAGAGTATGTTGAATCTGCACAAAGTGTAGATTTGTGTGATAATCTACACATATGTACAGTAATTACGAATTCAGTACTTGTTTCATCCTCATTATCAGCCAGTCAGAAAGAGGTGGCAACATCAAGGTAAATGATGTTAATAAACAATGAAGGCATGGACTCATATGAACATTCAGACAATTGAGTTGTGCGCTTTTCACTCTCATGAACATGGTGTGCAGCATCGTGATGTTTCTCAGGTAAATCCACAGGTACACGAGGTCATCATCAGGAGTACAAACGGATTGACCATCTGCCTTGTTCAAAGTGTTTGATCGCCTCTTTTTCTGTAACTAAAATCCACAATGCTAGATTTAGTTTGATGTATAAATAAATATTTTCAGTTCGCTAAAAGTTAGTTAATTTTATTGCTGAATACGGACCTAATGTGCCAACTTTTCAAGTGGCCATGTTAATAAGTTATGACGTCATCAGTAAAACACGTTTTCACAGAATAAAATTATATAGAAGGGCCATGCCAGTGAGCACTGCGTCCTTACGGCCGACATCATTCTAGCAAGACACTTTGTGTTTTTCACTTGTCTTCAACCACTGTAATTACATGACGTCATTTTTTCACAATGAAGTGGAAATAATTTCAATATAAGAAATGACGTCGTGTCATTTAAGTGGTTTGGAACAAGTGAAAAGTCCTAAACATCTTTTTGGAATAATGGCTGCCGATATGTGCGGCACAACATACGCGACGACAAAAACATCAAAGGATCCGACACGAGTGACCTTTTGTATGTTCGATGTTCTGTGACGTTTTGTTTGCAAACTACAGATCATTTATAACTGACGCCACATTTGTCTTCGCTTTTCTTTAATTATTTGCTTGAGTTCACAATATTCTAAAATAAGTATTTTAGAAACAGATCATAGGTATTTTAGGATATCGTATAACTAAATCAATGTACGTTATGTGACTTAAGTTTTCAAGATTTTTTTGAGCTTTTACAAAATTTATTAAAAGTGGTGCTATGGAAAACAAAACCCATTAGTTACCCTTATCGAACTGATTTTTAAAATTCTTCAAAATAATCCTAATATCTTCCGGAACATTTATATTGCGAAACTGCTAAAGTAATTAACTTCCATACAGCTATAGAAGAGAAATACCTTTACATACCTTTACTAAGATTCAAGGACGAGCGTAAATTATTTTTAAGTATGATTTATATTATAATCTAAACTAATTTGTAATTTTTTAGTGTATACTATCGTCTTTTTTATCTTTTAACCTTTTGGACATCCTAAATGTTTTTTTTATGGAACTCTATCGCATAAATTCTAGTAATTATTTTTTTTTACTGAAATAATTTGAATGCAGTTGTCCTAATAAAAACAGCTATACTTTTTAAACTTACAAGATTGACCTGCTAAAATTTAAAATTATTATTATTATAGTACTATTACTATTTTTGCTATTGCATGTACTGGATTTTTTTTCATTGCAACCAGAATATACATTTTTGCTACAATATAGGCTGAAATTGTTCATATATACAATCTGGAAGCCAAACTGTGTGGAGCTAACTGAAGCCACAAATAATGGTGTGTATTGTTTTATACTGCAGTTTATGCTCTTACAAATGTGGTCAATGTCTATAAGGGGATTGTTAAAACTAAATTAGTCATGTGTATTTCATCCATTTTTTAAAGGATACGAAAATGGATGCTATTTTTAGAGCCATACCACTGAATTGTTTTCCCTGGTTTGAAAAATTACTGCTCTCTATCTATTTAACATTTACAATCATCGCTCCTGGAATTTCGAAAACATTTGATCGTCAAACTTCTTTTGCTTGTAATGACAAGATGATTTTAAAATTCCAAGAAACTTCTCTTATAAAGAACATTGAATCAAGATGTTTGAGACAGTACCAAAATGAAACTTGGGATGATATATATGTGGTGTCCTTCAATTTCTTTTTTCTCTTTTTTTGGGGTATGATATTTGGACAGTCTGTGAGCAATCGACTTGAAAACTTTAATAAGTTCTTGTCAGAAAGAAGCAGTGAAGTCAGAAAGGTTGCAACTAGTTCTTGGGCATTTAATTATTACATCATTTATTTGACTGTACGCGTGATCGGGTTGTTTATACTTGTTACAGTACTGTTTCCATCCATGTTTCCCATTGACTATTCTTGTTCGTGGCGTCCAACAACAAACGAAAGCTCTTCGTTCAACAGTACAAATCTTTTTCCATATAACGAGACATTCGTTAATTGTAAAATTCGCGATGGTAACAGTGAATGGTGGATTAAATTTGTTGTAGCTGTTGATGTTTTATCGATAATAATGACGATATGTCAACTAATATACCTGTTAAATGAGGCCAGTAGTGACAATTGTTTCACATCAGATAAGGAGTTTTTCACGGTATACCTCTTTTCAAAACGCGCAGAGTTTCGAAATTGGATAAAAGAAATAAAAAATAAACCTCACTTGAACAAATTATTAAATATTCACGATAACGTAGGCAAGGCAAAAATGTCTGTGCAAAATCTTGAAAATATTTATGTCAACGTCATAATGCAAGCTGAAAGACAATTAAGTAAAGCTTACCCAGAAACGCATGAAAGGCACGAGATCCTTCATTGTCATTTCAAACCTAATGAAAGTGCGAAAAACTAACAAGAGCAACTGACATTTTAAGCCACTTCAAATAGCAAGTCGTATCCTAGCTCCATTTTAGTCATCGGAAGGCCAGGAATTGGTAAAACTATGTTGACGAAAAAACTTATTCATGAATGGAAGACAAATGAAGATGACTTTTGGCGTAATAAGCTGGTCATTTTATTGCAATGTCGTGCGATTAAAGGGAAGAACATTACTTTTAAAAAAATGTTAAGAAGTTGCGTTGGATTTTCATTTGAACAGCTTTCAGATATTTACGAATTCATAATGTATAATCCTGAAAGAACTGTTCTTATCGTCGACGGTCTTGATGAATTATCTTTAGATAATGGAGATCTTCAAACTGACGACTCAGGGTCCCCTAATGAAAAAAGGCACGTCACTACACACTTAAGTATGCTAGTTGAAGGTAAGCTATTGCCTGATATTACTGTTCTTATTACATCACGACCCACAGCTGAACGTAAATTTAGAGATATGGAATTTGCGAGGACAGTTGAAATAATGGGCTTTTTTGAGGATGAGATAAACGAATTCGTGGAAAAGTTTTGTGATGAAGATAGGAATATCGCTGACCGTATTCTAAATAAGATTGAAATTTCTCTTGAACTTCGCAGCTTTTGTTATATCCCTATTAACACTAAAATTGTTTGTATGACCTTAAAGGAATGTTTTACAGATGATGAAAACTATAGTCCAAAGACTATGACTGAATTGTACGATAGAGCAATTAAAGTTTTACTATGGCAAAGCCATCCCTTCTCAGGGCAAGACTACAGAAAAGGATTACTTGAGAATTCCTTTACCATCCGAGCTTGATAAAGATCTACAAGAAATAAAATATGTTGCCATGGAAGGGCTTAAAGACGGACGCCTGATTTTTGAAAGAAAAAGTAACAGTAACTTTAAAAATCTGGAAAACTGTGGCATTTTCAATAAGATTTATGATGATGAACGCCATCTTTACTGTTTTCTTCATTTGACTCTTCAAGAGTTTTTTGCAGCGTGGTATATTGTTGACGATTGGCAAAACATTGGAAAGTTTTTGGATGATCATGTTCAAGATCCTAAATGGCATTTGGTAATCGAATTTGCTGCTGGTTTGGTTGGAAATGAAAAGAAAGAGAAGGAAAAGATATCAGCGTTATTCTAGAGAGGTATTAAATTTATGATCAATGAGCATTTGTATCATTGAAAATGTTTGATTGTATCTTCATATTGTATGTGACTAGATGTATTTTTCTAAGTTAATTCATCATCACCAAATTTTAACATTAATTTTGCCAGCCAGATGAGCAAATATTAAAGTAACGCCTCCTCGATAAGTTTTAAACTAAAGTGTCGCGTAGAGTTTGGAAGAAATTATTTCTTTTGATCGTTTGTTGTATACTTCAGAAAATGGTTTTACATGTTTGCGGATGTAGACCACTGTAGATCACTGAGTTGTTGCTTCATTAGAGTATTTGGATGCACTGGGAAGTTATTTAAACAGCAAATAAAAGACTTCACCATAATGCACACTAAGATACATAGATATAAAGCCCATAAAATAAACCTTATGTTCAAACATTAAGTGAAAAAATCTGCTAATGAGAAAACAAATCTAGTGGATTCTCCAAACACTACGTTCCAAAAGTGTAGGACTATTTTCGAAATGGTTTTAAAACGAACAACAGCCAGAAGCAAAAAGCTGTAAGCTATAACTTAAAACACAAATTATGAATTTAAGGTTTTTACCTTGATTTTCATCAAAAAATTACTTGCCGAATCCGAAATACAAATATACATTTTGTGTATTTGGGAGTGGAAAATTGCGAAATTTTCAAAAAAGCTGTCCATTTCGGTAAATCTCAGCGGCAAAGGACAAAATCCTCCATTTTGTTGGCGTCATACAATATTTTAAGCAGCTCTTGAGATAGCCGCTTCAGTTATTACAGAACTCAATGGAGTTTGCATTCCAGATATATTTACTTCAATGGGCTGAGTTAAACCTTACCCGTGCCTTCAACTTACTCAAAATTTGCAGGCAACGACCATTGAGTTCTATAAGACCTGGAGGGAAAAGGGCCTGGACCCCGTGGTCAAAAACATGGCGGTAATGGCGGATTTTGTTGGTCAAAACTTCCACTTTAAAAATTTTTTTCAATATTCACTCCCTCCTGATTTCTAATACTGTTTATATGAACGAAAACAAGTGAGAAAAAAACAATTACGATACCGACAGCATACCATGTGAAAATAATGCTTCAGCATTGCGTGAAAAACACAGTACACACACACATCAAAATAAAGAAAATCGACGGTAGAGAAACGCATATTTTGGCTGTAACATTTAAGTTATTTTATGACATTTTAACCTTTTAAAAGTGAAAATCAAACGTCATTCATTAGTAGACCTGTCAATCTCGTCAAACTTATACTTTATTTCATGCTTCTGTGTGTTTGACTGTTTGTAAACAGTTTGGTGCAACTATTTTTCTTGCTCAAATGGATAAATCTGTGTTAAAATGCTCCAAGGAAGAGAAAATGTTTGCTTCAGTTCTACGACATAAGTCAACTGGAAATTTACCATGGATAAGTATCATAAGTGTATTGTCATTACCTGATAAATCTACTGAAAACTCATAAAGAAAGTATGTTGAACTAGAAGAGCTACAAAAAGAAAAAATTCAAAACACCATGATATGTTGGTTGGAAATTTGTATTTTGTAAACTGCTTGGCAGAACCTTGGGTCTATTACTGAACAGAACTACATTAATTTTTCATTGAAATTACAAATTTGGAAACTAAAGTGCATTGGTTTCTCTGACAAAAACACTCTGTCTATTGCTTCATGAAGGCAAAATAATTAATTGACAGTGTAGGCGAAGAGATTTATTAAGTTCTATAGATATTATTGTGTATTACTTACAGTCTTTTGGAATTGTGTAATGTATGTCACAAACAAGATATAATTTTTCAAAATGCTAACCCCTCTAAGCACTACTTCTCCTCTGTTTGCTTGAACAACTTACAGCTACCAATACTAATTAGTTATATGCACAAACTAACACTTGGGGATTAAATGATAAACAACTTCATAACTCTTTGTATTTTCCATCAAACCTTTCAATTTGTTTCTTTTATCTCTTGATAAAAAAATATTAATGAAAGACTTACAAATCAAGTTTCTCAAAAATAGTATTTTGTACAAAGAAAGTAAACATAATTGGAAAGGTCACATGTTGAAGACAGACTTTGCTTCTCTGACTAGGTTGCTTGACCATGAGCAATTTAAATTTGTTTACAATTTGTTTGAAGAATTCTTTTATTGATTTGTACTAATTCTTTATAAGACACAAAGAATTTTTTTTACTTCCTCTACATTCAACTTCATTGTAACCAATGTATCCGATGTGAATTTGTGGATCACCTGGAATCATACCAAGTATGCATTTAGTAAGATAAGCCAACAATATGTTTAATTTTTCATGCATATTAATGATATAATCATTAAGCTATTGTTGAACAAAAATTTCAAGGTAGGAGCAAATCTTAGCACATTGTTCAACACACTTCTTTTATCTTGGTTTTGAAGTAGTAACCTGTTTATTATAACAATAAATACTTCACTTACAGAAATACGAAGTAGTACTTTACAACTGTTTGCATAAATCCAACTTTCCAAAGCCATTATAATTGTCTACGCTATAGAGTCAGTCAAATTGAGCAGGCAAGTAGTTTAATAGTTATTTATATTATACGGCATATACCATAGCTCTCATGGACTTTGCATGGCACTGCATTCAATTTCAACACAACTCTGTTGTAAATTTCCCTTCATCTTTAAAAAATAAATAAGAACAAATTCTGCCCAATTTTTGGGAGGTTAACTTAATCATGATACAAGATGGATGCAAAACTCGCTAAAAATTGGCAGCTTCACCACGTCTGACGAGCGATAAAGTGAAGAAAAAACAAGACTGGACCAAAATAACTTTAAATTAAAACTTAGTAGTAGAAACACTCTTGTAGTATCGTGTTAAAAACAAAATAGTAAAACTACTACAGTGCTACTTACCGGAGTCGTGAAATGTTTCCTATTCTGTCGCTATTTCAGCATCCACAAACAACAGAAGCTTGCACATTGTTTAATAAATATAAGTTTAAAAAGTGTTTATGTTAGGAAAATAGTTTTGATATTTTCTATACTCCCAATCGTGGTGGTCAAATCAGGGTGGGCGACAAATTTTTTATTTCATAAGCCCGCGTCTCTCCGCAGACTTTGACCACCAAAATCCGCCATGCTTTTGACCACGCGGCCGCGCGCTAATAATTTATAGTAATTTTGTTGACGTTTCCCCTCCAGGTCTTATAGAACTCAATGGCAACGACGTAGTTGTTCATGCAACGTACTTGACATAGTCTGGATCCGCCCCTGATTAAATCAAACTAAAGTAGATGTTTTGAAGCCGGGAGTGTCGTCTCTGTATATGCATATATACAGTAGGTGCACTTCGTGGGCAATTTGCTGCTGTATATTTAATTAGATTTCTTGCTGCGGTTAGCCATGTTATCATTTCTATTGGTCAAAAAACCAATTTACTGGCTGCCACTATGATAATCACATGCGTAAGAAGATATGCGCGGCACGAAAAAATTCAATGGAGTGGCTCTACTGTATATTAACTATACTGTGGTATCGTTACATGTTTGTGGCTAAAGATCGTCCAGGTCAGTAGAGTCATGAGAAGGAATGCTGGTATTGATATTACGGTCGTTCAAGTGAGAAGTAAACGTTAGGTTAGGCGTATTTATTATCTGGTTTTTACAGCGTCGTAATTTGTGTACAGAAAATGTGTGGGTGTGTGGGTTTCAATTGTGTTCTGTTTTTGTGGATTAGTCTGAAGTAATGAGTTAGTTGTTTGCTTGTTTGTTTTGTGAATGAGTCATTTGTAAGGTGACGGTAATTGTTGTGATCTAAATGTATTACTTACAGCACTGACTATAGACAAAGGCTTACATTAGAAAGTTGGTACACCAACTTAAAACAAAAACCCCTGAACAGATCACAATAACTACCGGCTCCTTCCAAACGGCTCATTCACAATACAAAAACAAGTAACTAACCCATAACTTTAGACTAATCCACGTTAACAATACACAACTGAATACCACACTGCGGAAAAATTTCTGTAACCACAATACGATGACGTAAGAACAAGATAACAAAAACGGCTTTCCTGACGTTTACTCCTCACTTAACTCTGAAGATGACTACCACTAAGGTTGTCAAAACGTCGGTCTACAGCAAAACCAACAGTCCTTCTCAGAACTCTACTAACCTGGACAATCTTCATCCACAAACGTTTTACTCAAACCTCGTATATTAATGAGTATGTCAATAACACTTTCTTTAAACCTAGCATGTTATTGACCATATCATATATATATATATATATATACAATTTTTAAACAACACCGATTTTCCCATACAGTTGTAATTGTAAGTTAATCACAGAAAAAGCAATCACTGACGTGAAACCATTAATATGTGAACGCAAATCGGCGATAGCAATCGACAACAAATTTAATTATTCTAATCAACAGATAGAAATTACTTGCTACGCAGCACGGACCGAACTAGGACTTTTTGAACGTAATTCAAGAAACGCCAGAAACTTTAGCCATCTTGGAGGCTCTGGAAACATACTCACAGGGAAAATTTTGATTTTCAACGTCTCGGAAGTTCAATTTCCGGCATTTTACATCAAGTGGTAATCATATTTTGTAAGCGTTGTATGTGCATAAAATTAACAGTTTAGTAGCATTTTTAATTGAAATGGTGAACGATACTTACTTAATTGGCTGTTTTTCTTAAGTTTGGGGCTACGCAGCATGCCTAGGAAACACATATTGCTAAAATAGCAATATGGAGTTAAGAAACAAAAAAAGGAAAATTATCAGGGTCACAGTCTTTAAAATCATGATGTAAGTAGTGGATTTATTCAGTCAAATAAAACATGATGTTGTTGAGACAAGGTGTCGATCGACAGATGGACGGTTGCAATCATGGCTGGATGGATCGATATTATATGCGCGTTTGCACCAAAGCATAATAGGCCTTCTTTGTGCATGAAGAAAAGTCGTCGACTAAATATTGCCATTAAGAACACTAAGGTAGGCTAACGCTTGTACGTGTTTTTTTTTTAATATCGGCGTTGAGAACAGGGAAGGATCTTTGTACTTATGGGTAAATATCACATCTAATTACAACAATTACAACTATATGCAAACTAGGCTTATGCATTATGGTAGCATTTATCTTTGTGAAAAGATATTGGACATGCTGTAATATATACTAGAACATTTTAACATCGTAATTGCAATTTACAAACTTCAGGATCAACAATACCATGATATCAACAATATGGTTGCTATTATGTTATTTTGTTATTGCTCTTTCAGTTGAGTTTGAATTTGAGATTAAAGTTATTGTTCACGATTGTTAACAGCACGTTTTTGTTCATATATTCGTCATGTCATCATTTCTCTAAGAATAAAGAGGCCCAAACACAAACCTAAAAAGATAATTTCATATACGGGGGTACTTTTCAAAATCTATATTAAAGGCACATATTTCGAAAATGAGTTTCAAACAAAAAAAAAGGCTTTTGAAAGAGAGACAAACGTCGTAAAAAGTTTTGTGTGTATAGAGATTCCTGCAAAAACGATCCAGATAAAAGTAGCTATAATTTTATGACAAATAATCTCTTTTACATCTATATACAGTAGAACCTGTTTTAAGTGTTCACATATGGGGATTTCTCGTGTGACCGTTTAATACAGGTTGACCGCTTGTTATAGTTCTTTAGGAAAGTCACCAGACGGGCTACATGTAATATTTAACAAACTAAAGTTGACCAATCGGTATTGTTCGTTAACATGCCAATTAACAACGCTATATAAAGCACTTTTTTTCTTAGTTTCAACTAGAAATTAAAAATAGTATACAAAAAAATGTCACGGCTCAAACTGCTAAATAATAATCATTGGCAAGCGTGTGTCAACAGAGAAGGTGTTTATAGCTTATATATTCCGTGCCTATATCCCTTTTTTGGAGATACGTTTTCTTGTCAATGGCTGAACGGACGTAAGAAACATTAAATTGCTGGTGTATTTGTCCGCACAAACAGAAAATACTGTTGGATCTTTTGAGTCATTTTATGGAAGATAAATACAATATAAAGACATGTATACAATATAAGTGATATGTTCCAACAAATATTTAATTATATATTTTATTATGGGTTACTTTCTACTTAACCTGACCGTTTAATACAAGTGCAAAAACAAAAAATAGAAACACATTGGAAAAGGTGACCGCGTCCGTTTAATAGAGATGAACGTTTAATAAAGGTCACTTTAAATAAATATTTACCAGGAAACTTTGCCATATAACCGCTTAACACAGGGTGACAGCTTAATACGGTGCCGCTTAATACAGGTTCTACTGTTAAAGTAAAATTACAAATATTTTGCTTCTTATAAACTTGCTCCGTGGCGCTGTGAGGCCCATTTTAGTACATACATGATATACAGATATAATTTGTTTTTTAATGAAAGTTTTTGGTGAATTAACTAACTAAAACATGCGTAAATGAATTTTGACCCCTCTAATCTCTTCCAGTCAACTTTCACGCTGCCAACGCTACTGAACTGGTTGTTCTGACAAGCAGCAAGGAGTTTTTACTTTCATGTAATATTAATTTGCACTTGGCTTTGGTAAACCTTGTGTGCATTATCTGATTTATTTTAATTTGCTACTAAAAGATTATAGCTAGCTATAGTTACCATAGTTGTTTTACAAAATCTTCTTATTTCAAAAAACTTTTCTAAAAGGCTTTATCATTTTTAACAAATTAAACCAAACTTTTAAAAATTTCACAATACAATATTTTTATAATTACAGGTTAGAAAGTTGGATCTCACATTTATTTTTCTCTGAGGGTAATAAAGTACTTGGTTTTCTTGGAATGAAGTGCTTATACGAATTACAAGACGACGATGAGATGAGATCAATTTGCAAGTCGAATAATTTTTCTGAAACAATATCCATTGATAACGTTTCTTTCACGCCTCTTGACTCAAACGCCTTCTTCGAATTTCTCTCTGAATGCCGACAATTAACAGAACTCGAGTTTTTTTCATGCCAATTTCCTGAAAATCATAGCGTTGTCAGATTGTCAAAATATTTGACAAATGCAACAGCATGCAATGTATTTTCTTTGAAAATCAACTCCTGTTCTGTTAAAAATATATCAAAACATCTTAGTGAAGCTTTAAAAAGTGAAAATTGTAAACTTACTGAATTGTCTCTTAGTCGTAACGAAATAGCAGCTGGAGGTGCAAAGTATCTTAGTGAAACTTTAAAAGAAGTAAGAATTGTAAACTTACTAAATTGTCTCTTGATTATAACAATATAGGTGAAGAGGTGCAAAATCTCTTAGTGAAGAAGCTTTGAAAATGAGAATTGTAAACTTACTGAATTGTCTCTTGAAGATAACAATATATAGCAGCTGAAGGTGCAAAGTATCTTAGTGAAGCTTTAAAAGTGAGAATTGTAAACTTACTGAATTGGATCTTCTTTTAATAAACTTAAAGATGAAGGTGCAAATTCTTAGTGAAGCTTTGAAATATGAGAATTGTAAACTTACTAAATTGAAGATTTATGGCAACAATATAGGTGATATAGTGCAAAATATTTTAGTGAAGCTTTAAAAGTGAAATTGTAAACTTACTAAATTGACGTTCCTTTCACAAACTAATAATGAAAATGCAAAATCTCTTAGTAAACTTTAAAAGTGAGAATTGTAAATACTGAATTCTATTTTCTTAAAAACTATGTAACTTTGAAGAGGCTAAATCTTTTAGTGAAGCTTTGAAAAATGAGAATTGTAAACTTATCAAATTGGACATTATTGATACTAAAATAGCAGCTAAAGGAGTTCAAAATCTCTTAGTGAAGCTTTGAAAAGTGAGAATTGTAAACTTACTGAATTATCTCTTCTATAATAACAATATAGATGAAGGTGCAAAATCTCTTAGTGAAGCTTTGAAAAGTGAAATTGTAAACTTACTAAATTGATCTCTTCTCTCTTAACAATATAGGTGATGGAGGTGCAAAATCTCTTAGTGAAGCTTTGAAAGTGAGAATTGTAAACTTACTGAATTGGATCTCTTATAACAAAATAGGTGATGAAGGTGCAAAATCTCTTAGTGAAGCTTTGAAAGTGAGAATTGTAAACACTGAATTGTCTCTCATAACAAGATAGGTGATGAAGGTGCAAAATATCTTAGCGAAGGTTTGAAAAGTGAGAATTGTAAACTTACTGAATTGGATACTTCTTATAACAAGATAGGTGATGAAGGTGCAAAATCTCTTAGTGAAGCTTTGAAAAGTGAGAATTGTGAGCTTACTAAATTGTCTCTTTCTCATATCAAGGTAGGTGATGAAGGTGCAAAATGTCTTCGTGAAGCTTTGAAAAGTGAGAATTGTAAACTTACTGAATTGTTTCTTGATGGGAACAATATAGGTGATGAAAGTGCAAAATCTCTTACTGAAGCTTTGAAAAGTGAGAATTGTAAACTTAGTAAATTGTATCTTTATATTAACAATATTGGTGATGAAGGTGCAAAATCTCTTAGTGAAGCTTTGAAAAGTGAGGTAAACACTAGAATTGTATCTTTTATATTAACAATATAGGTGATGAAGGTGCAAAATCTCTTAGTGAAGCTTTGAAAGTGAGAATTGTAAACTTACTGAATTGTCTCTTTCATAACAAGATAGGTGATGGAGGTGCAAAATCTCTTAGTGAAGCTTTGAAAGTGAAATTGTAAGCTTACTGGATTGGATCTTTCTCACAACAATATAGGTGATGAAGGTGCAAAATCTTATAGTGAAGCTTTGAAAAGTGAGAATTGTAAGCTTACTAAACTGTCTCTTTCTCATAACAAGATAGGTGATGAAGGTGCAAAATCTCTTAGTGAAGCTTTGAATAGTGAGAATTGTAATCTTAGTAAATTGTCTCTTTCTCATAACAATATAAGTGATGGAGGTGCAAAATATCTTAGTGAAGCTTTGAAAAGTGAGAATTGTAAACTGACTGAATTGTCTCTTTATCATAACAATATAGGTGATGGAAGTGCAAAATCTCTTAGTGAAGCTTTGAAAGTGAGAATTGTAAACACACTTACATTAGATATAAACTTTAACCATTATTATATAAATTAATTTGCTAATTATTTAAGCATGTTTAAAGAATATATATTTGACCTTACAGTGTAACAGCCAGTATTCATATTTTTATAAAATTAATTGAATTGTCAACTGATTTTTTGCGTGTAAAAAAGCACCTTTCTTCATATCAATTTATGGTCTTTCTTGTAGCAATACAAGAATCATAGTTCTACCTAAAGAACATTTTAATCAAATTATTTGATAGATTGTAACAGCGACGGAAATGTGTTCTTTGTTTTTGTTTGTTTGTATCAATTTCCTATCTTTTGGCCAGCATACTGTCCTTGCAGAATTAGTGCGAAAACAAGTTTAAAAACTCCTGCTAATGTTTCTGAAGTTTCTTTTAAAGATTTTTTGCAAATGCAAATGTCCACCAGGACATATAGATACATGTTAAATAAATCGATGTTTTCAATCATAAATAACTCAATATCATACCGAACGTGTTTGCCTCAGAGACGTTGCTAACAAGTTTATTTTTGCAATGTTGATTCTAAAATCTGTTCACTTTAGAATCTTCTGGTTATGGGGATGTTTAAAAGAACTTGTTTAGGGCTAAACTTTATAATCATTATGGTTATGTCAATATAAATCTGGTTTACTTTTCCTGAAGATTGACAAGCGACAATCGGTTAACATAAGTAATCCCTGGAGGCAGTAAAACATTATATGCATTGACATTTGGTTACGTTTTTTTGCCAGTATTCATCATAAAAAACTCATTTTAATATACTATATAAATGATGAACTGAATTAAAGCAGTATGAAGTGTATGTAGCAATGTATTTCATTGCAAATCTCAAGTATTTGTAGTGTTGAAAAATAGAAAAATTTCTATAAGTTGTTAATACTACGATAGTTGCTGCAAACCAAGGGAAGTCTAGAAACAATTAATAGTGTTCATAAATAAAGTTCTAAATAAAGTTTTATAATTATTGAGTACAGGTCTCATAATTTCTTCACATTACTTATGATCATATGCCATATCACACACTCAAACATCTTGACTCTTTAGAGCCTTTGTCATTGAAGAAGCTTGTTTTTTCTAAAAGCATTATGAGGCAGAGACATACGGCATAGGTGAGTAAATTGTTTTTTAGATTTATTGATTATAACAGTAAAGATATTTTGCTTGCGCAAAAAGTATTCCCAAAGTGTTTTTTATTTTTAATTATCTCGCAATAAACTTCAGAAATTGAAATAAAGTAATAACGCCATTGAAGGACAATAAAATATAACATATTATTATCCCTTTATACATTTCATTTCTTGAACGTTTTATGAAACGAAGACAAAGACAATTTTTGTGATATATTTGCATACAATTATATTAAGGAGATTTGCATTGTTTTAGTTATGATAAAACCAAAGTCTTTCTACTAAAGTCATTCAATTTTCTGTTTTTGAAGCCTTTCTAAAAATTATCAATTACAGTTTTTAAAAATTCAAACGACACACTGTATGTACAAACAATTACATAACTTGAGTCACATTGCAAGTTTGCAGTTGTTTGTCGGGTATATTTAAATATTTTATTATATGAACATAGCCCAACATAATACTTTTAAAAAGCCATCCCACAATAATAAAATAGAGATTTAATGAATTAAGTTTCATCTTTAACTTAAGACATCTTCAGATAATAAGATTAATATATATACACGAAGGTTTTAGATACAAGCATATAATATGGGTGTTAAATTAAATGTAGGGAGTGGGAAGTTGAGATGATATTAAGTGAGAATTGCATATTAAGAGGTGAAAGGGGGATTGGGTTGCCTAGGGTGTTAAGGGGTTTAAGTTTGGATATAGAAGGCTTTCATGAATCCTTAAGGTCATAATTGTCCAGGAGGAAGAGAGAGGTGAGAAATCATTAAAATCGGCAGAGGTGAGATGTATTTCTTATATGAAAAAGAACTGCAGATGGTGGTGGACATAAGGAAGCACCTATTGAGAGGAATTTAAGTGTTCAATATTCCTGGTGATATGCTTAGCGTGGTTTGGCCCACGATGCAGAACAGCATCGACACTTAAATGGGTATACAACACCAGATCTCAGGACTTGGGAACCCCTATCCTTAAAAGGAAAGAAAGAGGAGATAGAGACATATGGAAAGAACGAAAGAATAAAGCGAACGTTGATATGAGGAAAGCAGCATTGCAAGTCAGTGATTTAGGTTACGAATCTGAAGACAGTGTAACAGAGCCAGTGAAAGGACAAGTATGATTTTCTTAGAACGAGTGTGAATAAAGATCTTGCAGGTTCAAATGTGTTGTTGAGGAAGCGGTGAACATGATTGTCAAATATGTATAGAATGGGAAGTTGTTTAAGGTGTGAACAATTTTCTAACAAATTCTAGTTCAGTATAGAGAAGTGTTCATAGCTGGAGCAGGAGTTGAAAATTCTGTGAAGTAAAGAAGATCAAGAGCGTTGTATTGTGAATGGGAATGAAACTATAGGAATTGGTAGAGACCAGTGAAAGTGGGTTTACGATACGGAGGTGGAGAACTTACCGTTTAGGCAGGTTATTTTTTACGTCCAGAAAGGGGCATGTGTTGTCTTTTCTAGTTCAGATGTAAAGGTGATATTAGGATGTTGGTAGTTTGAGATAGGTAAGAAAGAATTCTTGAGTCAATATTGATCGGAAGGTAGAAAGCAATCATGAACGTAACGTTGATAAGAAAGGGTTTAAGTGGAGGACAGTTGCCCTTGAAGCCATGAATTTTTCAATGAGGCCATAAATATTTTCTAAAATAATGGGCCTGGAGGCTGCCCATAATACACACCATCAATCTGTTGATAAACTTGGCCGTTAAAAGAAGGAAATGACAGTTTTGACGAGGAAGGGGAGAGAAGTTGAGTGGTGTGAAACAGTCCAAGGCCTTTAAGAAAGGACGTGTTGTGGAGAAATTGTGATTAGTTGTATGGCGATTGTTTCATCCTGGGATGTTGGTGAATAATGATTTAACATCAAAAGCTCGCCATCTGCAACGTTATTAGCGATGTGACGCACAGATCTTGGACAAAAGAAAAAGTCCTTGTGCAGTATGGGGTTAATTGGAGGTTGGTGTAAGGAAAGGAATAAAGGGTAAGGCAGCTTGGGATGATGGTCAATGCTAAGATAAGATTGGTCTTATAGGGGATGGAGGTTATGAATTTAGGGAGTCCATAAAGAATACCGATACGTGTACCAGTGGGATAAAAGCTCGTTGTATGTTTTTCATTTATACATTTTCACCTTTTAGTTTTCTCAACAACGTCTTCGCCCAGTTCTCGCGTTTCATGTAATTTTGATATCATATAGAAGTTCAGTTCCATTTGTCCGTTAAATTTCCATCATCTTTTGTTGTAGTCGTTTTATTCAGAATAACAACTCCGTTGCCTATCCAGTTTTCAGGATGACAATGCTGTTATCATTTTCTCAGATCATTTACTTAGCGTTTAGTTCATTCTCGTGTATAGGCATTCGATTGGCTGTAACTGCGAAAACCCGGAAGTAAGCTATGTCCTTTAAGTTTAGCTTTAATTGGGTCAGAAGAAAAAGCCAGAAATTGTGTGGACGGGTTCTTGTTGAAGGCGGTGCCAAAATTTCTCAAATGGTGAAAAGTGCACGAGTTTAGTTTGCTTGGGTGGAACAGCAAAAGTTCAAGACCCCTTCAGGGATTTCTTTTCATTTTGGGTGATGAAATTGATTGAGAATTAGCTCCACGTCATCAAGGTTGATTGGGTTTGTGTTAATCACCAGTGCTAAAGGCAGAAGAAATATCTTACAGTCTTAGGTGCATTTATTTAGTGGCTTAGTTTTTAGAGTTCACCACGATCAGTAACATGTTTGGGTAAGATAGAAGTCAAGGTTTGAAACAAGATGCCAGTCTGGAATGTGCGGTCGTAACGATGGTAGTGATACTCGTATCGAAGCGATGCTGTTTAGCTTCTTCTTGTAACAATTTGTGTTGACATTGTCGATAGGCTGGAGGATCGCAATCTGCGATTAGCAACCTTAAACCATAGGAATCTTGGTATTATCAGCGCTTCTTACGTAATAAGGGAACTCTAGGTCAGTTTGGCTTTTCCAAGCAGGTTCGAGACAGAATTTCCTGAACACTTCAGGTGCTCCGTTTTTTGTATGGCGTTTAACTTTAAAATCATGGCCAGAGATTTGCCAGGCAGAATCTTTGGCCAAGATTCTGCTCATATCAGTTACCTTTCCTCATATCCAGATGTTGCCTTTCCTCATTATCAAACGTTCGCTTTACATCTTTCGTTCTTTAGGCATCTCTCCTCTTTCTTTTTCCTTTTAGGATAGGGTTCTTAAACTCCTGAGATCTGGTGTTGTATATCATTTAGTGTCGATGCTGCTCTGCATCGTATGTGATCAAATCACCGTCAATTGCACAGAATATCAGAACTGCCGAGAATCTCTCTATAACAGAAGCCTTCATATCCCACCACCATCTGCAGTTCTTTCTCATATAAAAGAAATACATCTCCACCCTGCCGATTTTAATGACTCTTCCTCATTGACAATTACAACGCCGTTCAGAAAGCTACTTATAGCAAGCCCTCTTAACACCCAAACAGCTCAATCCCCCTTCCTTCTTCAATATACCGCCATTTCTCCATGAATTCCCGTCATCAAACTTCCTATCCTCTCACATGTAATTTAACACCCCATATTATACAGCAATAGCGTATTTAAAACCTCGTGTATATATATTAACATTAATCTGTGAAGATGTCTTAAGTTAAAGACAGAAACGTAATTAATAAATCCTTCTCTATTTTATTATTGTGATGGCTTTTTTAAAAGTATTATGTTGGGCTGTTATGTTCTTATTGAAAATTCGCTTTCCGCCTGGCAAATCTCTGGCCACGATTTTAAACATTTATTTGTTTGAATGGACAGACTCATAACCCAAGATTTACAGCGTTTAACCTATATTTCTGGAATTCTAATTTCCACCAAAACAGCATGTGCTCAATCTTGACAAAGAGCTACAAGATTATAGTGTGGCACATTTAAATAGTTTTTCAGTATTTCAAACAGAGTACTTTAGCATTGTAATCATGACTTCATCTGTTTACTTCATGCTTAAATTACTGTAAATTTTGTGGTAAAATCAGGCAAAGTGCAAATAATATAGACATAAATATATTATTTAGATTGATACATTATAAGGCAAAAGATTTGCCAATAATGGCGTACACGAATTTTGCGTTATAAAGACGTCATGCAAGAGCTCTATTGTATTTTATTTATAACTCATTGACTACATTTGTTTCAGTTAAAATCATATAAACTCGTTAGTATTGCATCCATAGAAAAGGGATGGGGGAGTTGACTGGGGGCCTTTAGTCCCCATGAAGCTTGTAATCGGGTCTTACTATTCCCCAGAAATAAATAATGACATCGTTAAAACGTAATTACGTTCTTACGTTATTATCTTTAACAATGTGTCCATTAAAATATATATGAAAATTTATTCTGCTCTAGTCACATAAAAATTTTGAAAAATTTATTGCGGTGGACGAGTTTTAAGTTAATGGTGCGACACTGGTGCACTGAATCTGATGACTGTAAATTTGAAAAAATTTGCTTTAAAAGTTTTGAACATAACCATTAGTCTCTACCATATACCTTAACCCAATCCCCAACCACTTAATTTTGCATTTCAACCATCGTTTATTTTTAAACTTTAGAAAGTTAAATCGAATTTGTTGCTGAATTGTCGTTTGTTGCGTTTCTACTGCATTTAATATCATTTATGCCCACAGTCATCATGGCCACTGCAAAAATGGCTACTGATGCCTAAAAACTCAGTGAACTGACCAAAGTCCATTCTATCCTCAAAATGAAAAACTTTCAATATTTTTCAATACTATGATTCAATCACAGTACGTATTTGGTTGTTCAACTCATATCATCTGACAATATCAAATCATATAATATAGATATATAAACTACAAACAGCAGTATTTACGACTGCTGTTTGTAGTTTAACCAACGAATTGGTACATTTAGTACATGGAACATTTCATAGACAAGGAGAAAGTATCATGTTTTGTCTCTTCTGGATCATTCCTTGTGACCCATAATGGAATATTGTACAAAATGTTTCGTGGTTAATTACCTTCACTATCCGATTTTCTCAAAATATTTCTTTGTCGATTCACTTTGTTAGTCGACCAGCAACCAAACTCACAAACAAGGCATTCCGATTCGTGGAATTGTATTGTGGTGTCGTATCTCTCCCATGGTAATGCTTTATCACCTCTTTTGAAGAAATTCTTGGTTTTCCAGTATGATTCAAATTTGGAATGTGATGATGATGAATAAGTTAAATGAAACAACAGCTACCATATTTATAACAAAGAAACTTTCAAAAATGTTTTTCCAAAAATTTTTGTAATTTCTAATCATCCATGCCTTCCTAAGATTTTATTTTTTATCCTTATCGTTCACTGCAAGATTCTGGCCATGGCATAAAGGGTGAAGTATTTCACGTATTAATCGTGTCTTAGTCATTCAGTGTAGATTGTGACACTGTGACGGTGTCGTTTTTTGATTTTTGCAATGACTCTGATTTTGCCCATGTTTGTTAATGCCACAAATGAATGACCATTGCATTTTTTGACTAAAGTGTTTCGATTTCATCCAGACAATAAAGAAATCATGGCCGTATCGTTTGACAGCAATGTTGCTGAAGAACATTGTTGATGTTAAAAACTATCGTCCTAGCATGGAATAGTTGGGGACTAACGATACTCCCGTGTTCAAACCATTCACTTTAGAGTTGAATAAATTCACGTCATGCATTTGAGTTCCATAGCAACAAGAATTACAACAGGTTTTGGACATTAAAATATTTAGGTGTTTTCTCTTGTAAAATATATGTTATCCTCAACTCTTATCACCTTACTCACCTTTCCCAGTATCGTACACACACATACTCGAAACCAACGTCACCCACTCATACTCGTCTCCCTTGCTCATTCCCTTATCTCCCTGTTTATTACTGATTTTCATGCTCAATCATTTCTTTTTGTCTCTTATCCATTCCTTCCTTTTGTCTCACCCATCCTTCCATTCCATTCCATTCCATTCCACTGAACCCTCCATTCCTCCATTCCATTCCATTCCATTCCTTCCATTCCATTCCATTCCATTCCATTCCTCCATTCCTTCCATTCCTCCTTCCATTCCCTCCATTCCCTCTTCATTTCATCATGACATTCAAGATAGGCATGGTCAACTTATCATTTTTATTCATCACATTGTTTTTGGGTTCATTATATCATACCGATGCATGAAGGGGAGTCTGTAGCCAATATTTTTTATTGTAAAAGCTTCCCGTGGCTGCACATAGTGATGTAGATAAAAGGAGAACTACAACATTTATCACGACGAATAAATAAGCCATTAAATCTAACTTAGATATAATGCTTAATCAAGTTTTTTTTATAACATACATGAAGAGCAATGCAGAAACGTCTGTAAAGTTTTCTATCAAATAAAGCATTATTGAAATCTTCCCATATCTGTTTTAATACATTAAGCTCATTTCTTGATGCCAGTGACTCATTTCTTGAGGTTAGATCCTCCCTCCCTCCCTCATTCTCCTCCTCCATTTCTTCCCTAGTTCAATCACAAACTCCAACTTTCTTTCACACAATCCCTCGTTCACTCACACACTTTTCTCTTCTTCAATTCTCATTCCTTTGTTCATTTACACATTCCCGTGATCATTCATATGCTAACTCCTTACCTCCGACACCTTAACGCAATAGTTTGTTTTTCTCATTTCTCACTTTCTCAAGAAAAATCTTTTATTTTCAGCATTTTTCGACAGTATGAACATCTTCTTGAAAAGTTGACATCATTCAAACTAAAGACGAAAATTATATTTTGAAATCTTACTTCATCACAAAATCTAAAGTGTTATGGGTCATGATTGAACTGGTATGAATTAAGTGTTAGTTATTAAAGAGCTTTTGTTTATTTTTCTTAGTTGACTCTTTCATTAACGAAGACTTTGAATGACAAATCTATCTTCAACCCAATACTGAAAGGAAATGAAATTGCATTTTACATACCCACGTAAGTACTTTTAGAATGTGCCTTGACAATACTTTGCTCCATGTTTATTCAAGTACCTCCACTCCAGTGGCGTAGCTGGCCTGCAGCATCGTAACCAGGCGCTTGGCTTGTTTTCCTATAAGGTATTTCATATTTTATAAATTGAATGATTGATTGTCAAACGGCGTGCGTGCTTGCGCGGGACGACACGCGCGAACAAAAAATGGGAGAATCGCGTGGGAGCTTCAACACGTAATCGGCTTGTTACAGCCATGCAAATGCGCGATGCCCACGCACGCCATGTGAAGCGCCTGCGTACGAGGCTGGCTGGCCTGCATGTTTGGTCTTTCAATGTAAATTTTTCGATGTTAACCGACTGTATTGACAACAGTTATTTAATCACGGTTAGCACTATCGTAGTTTACTTTTTTAACTGTACGTACATAACTCCTAAATTCAACTGCGTTGCACGAAACGTAGTCAGTCAAATAATTAAGTAACTGCGTAGGTAAATTGCTTCGAAATTGCATGGAGTGTTGTTTTTTTTACATAAAATTGCATAACGTTTAATCAATTATTTTGTAATGACGGTGAGTGAATGCAAATAACAACGAAAGAATGACAATGAAATAAAAAAACGCTCACCTTCTGTAGTAACCTTAAAATATTACAGGCTATTGTCGTGTTTACGATGCAAACGAAAATTTAAGAAAAAGTTTCAAAGTGACATTCTGACGATTGAATTCGGATTTCTTTAGAAACTTTATTTTATCACCTGTACAACCAATTTTAAATAAATGTGCTGCACAAAATGAAACAACCGTAAACTTGTCCAAATATTCATATTATGTTGTATGAGCTATAGCATCATAGTGTTTGAATAACCTGCTGCAGACCTTGAAACTAAGCAAGAGGGTATGATTAGTTGCGTAACTAAAACCACAGAATAGATATCTTAAGCAGAAGGCCCAATCGTGTCGGAAACTTTGATGTTTGTGTTCACCAACTTTCTGAAGCAAATTTTAAGCAGACACGCCTTCCAGCAAGATACTTCCGCTAGATCGCAATAGAAAATAGATGTTTTTACAAATATCTTCTTATCTTCTTCACAAGATGATAACGCTTTGTATAAATTTCGGCAAACTTTTGCTTTAAACGTGAATAATTAGTAAAACTGCATTCTTGTTTAATACTATTCCATATTGACCCAGCTAGCAAAATCACGTTGTCTCAACGTTGTCCCAACGTTCGTCGAACGTTAACTCAACGTCGGCGACCAACGTTGAGTGAACGTTTTTTGGTGAACTCGTAGGAACGTGGTAGCGACGTTAGGATGAACGTTGGGATGTAATGTAATTTCAACCAAAACCAGACGTTCATACAATGTTCATACAACGTTCATACAACGTCTATCAGATGCTCATACAACGTTTACCTGACGTTTATCCGACGTTCATTTAACATACAATTAATGATGCATTATTTGTGAAATCATAAAACAGCCTTTCCAATAATACGAACTAAAGTTTAATTTCCATATAATCAACTTTTAACTCATCTATTTTGCTGTGCGTGTTTTAATATACATATTTACAAAAATGCTAATTAAGCCGATTCCAATAAGTTGCTATTTCGGACCTGCACCAACCACAAAAGTTTAAACGTTAGGATACCTTTTTCACATTTAACTAACACTTGCTTTTTATATAAATAATAAAACAATTATTGAATCGGGTTTTCACGTAATATAAAGAGTTATCAAGGCATCAATGTGTCCTATCTGCCTTAGCGTTCGTAGATTGAACAAACCTTGGCCTTCATAAGTCTTAATTCATATACTATTCCATTCAACAATTGTTTAATATTACCCTAAGCAAATTGTATATAATAAATCTAATCATGCAGTTTGAGTTAACAAAATTTAAAACTTGCACAAATCTAATACCTGCACTAAAATGAACGTTTTTTAAGGTACGCATTATGTATATGTGTCCATTCCATTTTGCTTTACTTATAATTGAAGGACAATGAAAGACACATGCTCACTTTCTTTAAGTGCACATGCCAATAATGTTATTGTGTATTTTTCTCAACTTACAGAGACAAGAAAATACAAATATTTTAACTTTGAGATTACGGAGTAAAATAAGTTGAGTTCTCCCTGTCTCAGTTTAGAAAATAAAACAAAGAAAAAATGGCATCTATATACTTTACCCAGCAATCTATGATGATAATGACATGTTACCTTAAATCTGGAACCACCTTGCTTGCCTGGAGCATATTTTAAAAATTCGGCAATTTGATCTTCAACGTTGGCCTTCGCTGCATCCTTTATGAGCTCTGAGGCAGGCTTCTAACAAGTGAAACGAAACAGAAAAGACATACTTTAAATAAATTGCAAAGATAAAACACTAAATCATTTTCTTAAGCTGAATGATAAACAACAATTCATTACAGTGAAATATGCAAAACAGTTTAATGTATTAGCTTTTAAATCTTGCAACAATATTCCTCATGACAAGGACCAACATAGATGGCTGTTTTTCCAATTCATGAACGAGAAAAAAGAGACAAAACATAGTACTGGTGAAGAAATCATTATCGTCTAATTGTGCTTACTTGGTATAATTTTGCATAGGGCAAGGTGCTGAAATGGTCGCTTTGACTTTCTGCTTTTTAAACTATATTGGGACTGTCGATTATTTGTTCCCAGCTTTGTCAGAATTCTTCTAACACAGTTTGCACAGGTAATTGCGCACAGTGCTATTAAAAACTAGTAAAGAGATTTTATTGTCTTTATCTTTTTACTAAATACGTATGGGTGGTTAACTTTCCAAAACTTACCAACTTTCTTCTGGACTTTTCTTCATTAAGACTAGAGAATAGCTCCTCAAGTTCTTCAACCGAATCTAAGGGATTAGGTAGAACATCTTCCAAAATTTCGTGCTCGTCTACACCTTTAGTAGCGCTTAACAGAGCACGCAATATTGACAACGTTTCTTCTTGCTTATCAATTAATGTTTCCAGTTTGGTGAGAACTGATCTTTGGAAGCCTACAAGATAGATAAGAAAATAATAGAATAACTTATTTACAACGTACGTAATATCTTAAAAATATATAACCTTACAACATGCTAACAAGAAAATTCAAATAAAACCTCGCATCAAATTGCTAATTGAATACGCATACATAATAACAACGCTATTCAAAAACTATATACTGTAGAAAAGGTACCATTAATTTTTTGGTTGAAAACGTCTTCCTGCAGGTGTCATGTTCATAAAACTTGTCGAAGGCGTTTCGTGCGATGAAAGGTCATGCGCATCTGCAAAGCAATCACGTGTTGCAGTTAGTTATGAAGAAAAAAACATCATTTTAAACGACTTGAAATGAACGTTAATGAAAACGCAACAACATAACATGCAATAATGAATTGTAAGAAAAGCTTACCTAAGACATGACTGTTTCGTCGAGAATGTCTTTCTCTTGTTGTGCCAGTTGTAAGAATTCCTTGTGAAGAGACGTTGCTTGTATCTACAGAGAAGACATGTACTGGGTTTAACATATATCTTTATTGCACGCACGAACGTCATTTAAATTAAGGCACTACAAGTTTCAAAAGGCAGAAACAGAAAGGTGACTAAAATAAAAATCTCGAGAAAGTTTCATTTGGTAGTTTGATAGCAAACGCTGAAAATTAGATTTGAACAAATGTATTTTGATTAAATCGTGGTGAACACAATTGCCATTTTAACTATAACTAACATTTTTTCAACTAATTACAACAACATTTTAAAGGACCAACGCCTACAGCATCTGTAGAACATACGTAATCCCTAAAATGCAATGATAGGCGTGGAAAAACAGTAAATGTACAATACGACTGTTAAAGTTATTTAAAAAAAATCAATCAAAACTATTTCAACATTTTAGTCGACATATTATATGAAAGTTGCTGATTAGTCAGTTCTGATGACAGAAAACTTCACACTACGCTGAGATGGTGTCTTACTAGTAGATGGGGAAGTTATTGCATGATCCTTTCTGTTTAGGATTTCTGGTGCTAGTTCACCGTCATATAAATCTAGATCAACATTATATTAAGATGAAAAGAGAAATTTTATACATGCATGTTTCTGTCAAAAAATTGTCTACTTGTACAATGATTATAATTGCGCTTATACCTTTTTCTGCAAGGGAGATCAGCTCGCTGCACACCGGCAAATCTAAAAAGCAAAATCAATAATTACATTTAAATGCAACGTAGCATTATGTGAAAAACTGCACTCCTTTGAATAAAGCAATGGCCTATTGCATTGCAACTACAGTACTTACTTCTAGAATTTGTAGATAAGATTTCATTGACGGCTGTTATCATATTACTTTCAGAAGATTCCAATAAATGCTTATTGTTCATACAAAAAGATGCAAAACGTGGAGCAGGAGGTAACTGTGAGGCTCTTTGTTGAATTATTGGTTCATCACTGTCATCATCGTCTGATAAGAAAAAATACCCGATCATCGCATAACAATGTTTATTGAGTACTCAAGCTATACTAAAAATACTAAAATATGGTTAATTTAATGCTTGCCAAAGATGTAATATTTAAGTAGCTACGGCAATACATTCAGTCTTAATCCTATCTTTTCCCACCTTAAGGAAGAAGACATAGTCAAATTCAAAGAACTTATTGTGTTTCGCACACACGACCCTTCATTGACTACAGCCATATACGCACGTAGGTAGTTATAATAGTAGAAATAAAACACTTTTCTGTGTTACTGCGTACGTAGGTTGTTGTGATTGGAGAGAAATATCTAGAATACTATATAACCTAGTTTCTATGTCACTGTAATCTGGAAATTCTTCCATACCCCTTTTGAGACGAGGACGTTTTCGTGGCTTGTCGTTGATTGACTCATCATCTCATTCAATGATTGAAGTGGCAATGGGTCTTCTAGCAAACTTTTGGGTACTTTTATAGTTGTCTAAGTAAAAGAAAGGTTCGAATTTATAAAACAGAGCATTAAATCGTTTGTAGCACTTTTGAGGCTTCAGTGGAGAAAATGTTAAACAGCTGGGAGCAAGTTTATAAAAAATTCTGAAAATAAAAAATTCCTACACCAGACATAGCAATGATTATTTACAATCAAAATGGAAATAAATAGAAATCCAAAACAAATGTAACCTAAATGAAAAATTCATACTATAATCACAAGACATCATATTAACCTGCAAATGTGAATATTCTGACTTTATGTTTTTTCCAACCATTTTTGTCTGGCAATTCCAGCTTCTTTACCATAGCTGAGATGTTTGTCCTCGGCCAATAGCAACACAAAAGCTAAAGTGTAATTAAATGAAAAATAGTTGCATTGAACTGTATGTATAAACTCAGGAAGATCTTTAAGATATGCCATATTACATTCTATGGGAATCCATTGTCCTTTACATATTATAGCATATGATTGTGACTTATATCAATCCTCCAAAGTAGATATACATCGCACATACTTTAAGTAACGAGCACATAGATAAAAATGAATGATTGAACAATATTGTATAAAAACAATAATGCAAAGCAAACCTTACACCATCACATGCTTCAATCCAACTTCTGGGAACAACTTCAACTGACTTCTTATCAAGGAATTCCACAACTGCATATGTATCAGTAGACATCTAAAGCAAATAAAAATACAATTTCAGATTGGCAGAGTTCGAGATCATATCTTCATTTAATTTCAAACACCGCACTGCATAAAAAAATTCTTTCATATGACATTCATTTCACGAGAAAACATGAGCCCAACAATATTGACCTGCTCACCACTGTGTGACTTCATAGCTCAGTTGGTCAGAGCACTGCATCGGCACCGCAGAGGTCATGGGTTCGAATCCCGTTGAGTCACCTGAATTTTTCAGGTTCATAAGACAATTGCTTAAATTGTCCAGCAAAGTGCAAAGATCATATCTGCATTTAATTTCAAACACCGCACTGCATAAAAAACATTCTTTCACAGCTATCACCATCAGGCATTGCATCTTAAAGCTTTATTAGCAGCAGTCCAGTTTTTTCTGTACTGCCCCCGGTTACATTTCATTATGATATGATCTTAAATAAATAATAAAATGTAACTGTCACTCTATTGTTGATTGATTTAAACATATCCTAATGTTACAACCCATTCCTCCTAAGTGCTGGTGATCACAACATTTAGCAAAATGTTTTAATCAAAAAATGATGAGTCTCATTCACAGGTCATGGTAACTTATATGTCTCCTCAACCATTTGTAACTTATTCTCTTCTTTACATGCATGTATCATACCTAATTTATACATAATCCTAAAATTTTAAGTATAATAATATAGTTTACTTGCTAACAACAGGAAATGGAAAATATCTGAAGCAACTACGCAAAAATAATTTAACTGACAATGCAAGCTTACTAAAGAAATGGGCGAAGTTAATAAACCAATGTAAGAGATGAAAAAGTGGGTTGTAAACTACATATTGTCTTGAATGCAATAATTGAACCAACAATACTTACTTGTATTATAAAGCAACCATGCATTGTTATGAATAAACATTCAATTACCTCTGTAAAATTATATCACTGTTCAAAAACTGCTGTGATTTGCAATAGAAACTACAACTATTTTAAGGTTTAAGGCTTCATGATTCTTAATCAAAAACATTTTGTAAATCACATAATCACTAACCCCATGTTAAAAAATATTAGTCATCAACACAGACGTATATATCATAAAAAGGTTTGAGTTTAATGTTATAAAAAAACAAAAAAATTAACAAAGTTTTTGTCGAAACAATTGAAAATTAAGGCTATAGTAAGGTGTATGAAATATGAAAATATATTCAATAAATGTGCACAGAAATAAGACAATAACCCACAGGCTTTTCTGAATTTTGGCGATCAATAATTGGCCTTATCACTAAAGATAAAAAAAATTGGCCTTTCTTAATAAAGAGAACAAATTACCTATGTCAAAATCATTCAAAGCGCCTAGAAAGCTACATGAGCAAATTAGCATACAAATTCGTTGTTTTACGTATTTATCATCAATCCATTATAAACATTTCAACCATCCTTTGTCGAGTTGTATCATTTAAATTTTAAAGCTTTTTTGTGCTTATCAACACACCAAATTACTTAAATAAGATGTTGCTTGTATTATTTGTGGCTAAAAACAATAAATTGTATGCTTTATTTAACCAACGGTAACGGTATATCGACAATGGCATTATAAGACGTTCATTGTTCCTCATTGTCTTTGTTCAACAATAACTACAATATCTAAACAAATAAAATTTCACCTTACTTTGATCACGTTACAATATAGCAGCACTTGTTCCAAAACACCGTTTCTTGCTAAAGTTGCGCTAAGAATATGAAATGAAACGGGTCAACCGTCAACCATTGAATATACATGTTGAATTATTCCTTGCCCAAGTTCTGTGTTTATTCAAATAAAATCAAAACAGCATGTACTTACGATGAAAACGTTGATCAGCTCGTTCTTGAATGTGTTCTACAATTATATATTTCTTGGGTGAAAAATTTTAATAGCTAAAGATCGACTTGCCACTTGTAATGAAGTACTCAGAAGACCCTTGCAAAATAGTATTCTGAGCCCGCAAATTTTCATAACGTCTACAGCGATTTATGTTTCTTATATTGCATATTTCGCCAACTGCGTCGTATGGGTCGCATCCGCGTCATAACGTTATCAAACTATATATTAAAGTTTATTTTTTATTAACGCTGATACAGCGAACGCATATCGATATCAATGTTCAGAAAAAAGGACAGACGTAGTTTTTGTATTCGACATTGGTACAAAGTTAAATGCAACGCACTACGTAAACATGAAATAACATGAATTGACGTTAATCGTAACGTTTAACCAACGTTCATATCACGTTAGACATTAACGAAGCTGCGACCAAAAAATCACCTTTATCTAACGTCCATCTTAACGTTTAACCGAAGTTGAAACAACGTCAGACAATAACGATGGGCACGCGACCAAAAAATCACCTTATACCAACGTTCATCTTAGACAACGTTGTTTCAACGTTACAACATAACTTCCTTACCGAATGTTAATTTTAACGTTTAACCAACGTTGACACAACGTGGTTAAAATTTGAATAAGAAAAACAACGTGGTAAAAACGTTGAATTAACGTTATGTCACAACGTAACGTAAATACAACTTTCAGCCAACGTTAAGAAAACGTCGTGTGCTAGCTGGGGATTTTGTGAAAGTATCTTGCTGGGAAGTCACGCATTCGTGGTGAAAAAAATACGCCACGATTTTAGCCAAGTGGGCCTTCTGTTAGATGTTTTTCTGTGCTAGAACGTTGAACCTTGGAAGGCGTATATTCGTATATTCAGGCGTGCCCGACTGATCTCTTTTGAAAGTGTATTTGCGGGGGAGGCAACGTCTGTTGGTAAGGGCATTAAACGTTTACAAGTATTATTTTTGACTCTGGCAAACCTTAACATGCTAATGACTCATAGAAACCTGTATTGCAGCTCTTTGTATTTAAAATTTTGAAAAGACACAATCTGCGTTCTTTTTAACAAATTCTTTGCAACTGTCCAATTGCAAATTTCTAGCGCATATCGAGCGAAAGGTTATTGTGCTGATTTTCCATATTTGCGAATATAATATTGAATAACTTTTGAGAAATCTATGCATTGAATGGAATCTTACAGCAGATGCAGTAGTTAACGAAAGAAGCAAGTATATATGCACAACAAATAAAGAAAGTAAGGTGGTCAACGTTACAGAATTTTCAGCTTTAAATATTAGTTTTTTAGGCTGCATATATCATAAAATAAATTGAATATTCACTGTCTATATAAACTATGAATATACTCAATGCTTCATTGACTTTGACCACAATGAGTTTCTATATAATATGTTTGATAATTCGAACGGCTGCTAAAAGAAAAACGTTCATGCTGACTTTATTGCTTTACGTTTGCCGATAAGAAATTTACAAAGAAGGCTCTAGCACAAAACCTTAACGCCATCAAACCCTACACTTTAACCTACAGAGTAAAAGAGCGTGTGACAAAAAAAGATTTCTTGAGGGAAAGTGGCGTGAACGAACATTCATCGACAGTATCACAGTATAGAGAACATACAGTAGGACCAGTCCATTTAATTTTATCGTGCCACGTATATCTTATTACGCATGTGATTACCATATTAGCAGCCAGTAAATTGCATTGTGTGACAAATAGGATTGACGAAATGGCAAACGGCAGCCAGTAAACGAATTAAATATACAGCAGCCAGCAGTAGCACAGCGAAGTGGCCCTACTGTTTAGTCCTATAATGTGACATTAATAAGGATTAATATTCAGCTGAAAATATTCATAACAATACCTTATGTAAATAATTAGAAAGGATTTTGGCAATATACAATATGTAATTTTACATAATATTATGATTTAATTATAACGAATCACGATATGTTCACATGATGAATAATTTGTATATCTACATGTATTGTTGAAATTTTGAAAGTCCACACATTAGTTTTGAAATTACCATATGCAATACTATCATTTGTGTGACGCAGTAGTTACATAATCACGCATTTCATTATTTCGTGACGCACGCGCGAGAAACCGTAATAGAAAGTATTTTATTGGTTTTTGGACTTGGCGTTGCCAACACGCATGGAATTATCTGATGATAGAGTGTAACAAGATCCTGTTTTCTTTGCTTTTATCATTTCCGCTACATAGTGAGATGTAAAAGAAGCCTGTGTTTGGTAAAGAATTTCAAGTCCCACCTATTCCTAAACGTACAGACAAAAAGGATCGGACGTAGGTGAGAGAAATTGTTTCTTATTTTCTTGATTTGTACTTGTGCTTTTATGAAATTTACTAAATAAAACAAAAATATTCACCAAATATTGGGAAATACTATAAATACCGGCCAAATGTAGCTGATAAATAAACCAAATGTGATTTTATTTAAGTTGAGAGTGTGAACCTTGCACGTAATTCGATAAATATTTCCATACATGTTGTCAGCGTAAACTCTTGTTTCACATCTTCACATTTTCATGGTGACGTTGCTTTGTTATGACTTTATTTAAATCACATATTGCATTTACACGTAGCGTAATAAATATAGGTTGAAAGTTCATATCCTGAATACATTAGGCCGTATTCTTTGCCACCGAAAGTCGCTTAGAAAAACAATTCCGTTGCCATCGGTCGGGCACTAAGTTTAATTTAAATAAATCTATAAATTTTCATTTGCTGAATAAGAATTTGCTTGTTGTCACACGTATAAACCTGCAGTTTATGAGCATTTTGCCATCAAACATCAACAATTTTTGCTGCTTTGAAACTTGATCGCCGCCTTTGTTTCCCCAATACTTCATTTAATTTACTGTAATATTACTAGTTCCAGTTTCCTATCAGGCTTATTTATGCTCGGACGTCAACAACTTATGCATAGTTGGTAACTTTTATCAATGTTTTTTGTGGGAAATATCACAATTTTCAGTTAAAAATATAAAATTTCATACATCGCATTAAAGACTATTTGATAAGTATAATATTCTACATTTAAAATTGGTCAATGTCGTCTAAATCCCCATCAGTACTTTCGCTGTCTGAATCATCTATTGAATTGTCTTCGTCGCATTCGCCTGATGTATTTTCGCAGTTAACACATGAACATAAGTCTGTGCAGACTAGGTTAGCTTTTCTACATGAACATCGCATGCTTGAACACCCAGTCTTACAATGACAGTCTACGAAAGCAAGAAGGGAGTCTGGAGCTGGAGGACGCGTCATCCATACGATATCAATGTCTCCGTTTGAAAACTGCCAACCGTTACCAATTGGTAAAGGAAGAGTCATTTGGGGTAAAAGAGACTGACACCACACACCCGCCTGGTAATTTACTCTTTCAATGTGTCTAAGAAGGCTGTCACATGTTGGTGGCAATACTTCATCCGAACATTTTCCACCTTTAAACATTGTGTATCGGCATTCATCGGCATTCTTTGATGTATTGTCGCCATACAGTAGACAAGTGAACTTGTTCAGATCGCGTACAAGGACGTTGGCAGGAGGAAAGTTATAACCAAGGAGAGAAAATGTCTCAACAAAGCAAGGATGAGCAATTAGCGTTTTCCATGCTTTGACCTTCCTTTCCGTAAAACGAGCTCGTGCAGTCACTTCCTAAATGTAAAGCAAACGTCAATACTTTAGTATTAGTTACCCTCATATTTTAGAACTTGGTAGAAGTATAATATCAGTGAAAATATACGCAAAAAATAAGAAAATGATGCAATGATTAGAAGGAGCCATTTCTCTGACCACCCCCATCAAAATACCTACATTGAAATGCTAACCTGAAAACGCGTGAAAGCCTGGCAAGCAGCGACAAAATTCTTCGTTCATGGCGACAGTAACTGCATTTATATGTACTGTGCGAGATTTGTTTCCAGTACCAGTCATAAAAAACAAATCCTTTGAACCCAGGTTTTTTTGCATTGCTACACAAAGAATGAAGACATCTGTATCTGGACTCCTAATAATAACATTAACGTTAGTGCCCATTGCATGCTTGGCGTGTAAAAGCATACGGGTGTCGGCTTCCTCATGATTGCTTTCTAGCACACTGCATTCACAACATAAAACCGGGTCCTCGTCAAAAGCTGAACAAGAAAGTACATAGCATTTTTCTTTTGTAGTAATATATAAATTTTCAACTTGCGTCAGTTGAGATGATTTATACTCTTTCCAATGTTCGCACAAAAAAATCATAAGGGACTCCTTGTTTTCTCCACAACTTAAGAATTTTTTCCACTGCTTTGGAACGGGCTGATCTTTACCAAAAATTCGAATTCGTTGAACTCCTTTCTCGGCCCGTCTCTTTCTTTCAGCGTTCTTGATACTCAATTTTGGATATCGATCTGTGACGAAGTCCAATCTTGTAGCATTACATTGAAATGCGACTTTCAGAAGAAATTGAAATATCGAGTCAGATAATTCACCGAAGGTCTTCCACTTTCCTTAAATAAGCAATTAAAATGAGAGGCCTCTGAATTGCGCAAAGAATTAACAGAACACTTTATGTCAAGTTACGACACAGAAAGACAAGTCTACGTTATTAAATTCAAGAGAATATGTCGTGTTTGCATATATAAAAGAAGGTCTGTGCATGCAACGTGTCTTTAACATTTACCTTTCATAACTTGCAAGACAGCCATTGCATCTACTATAAGAGCATTGTTGTGAAAGCTGCGAATATCGACTTCTGGATTGTCTGCTTCTCTCTCCAAAATTTCAAGCAGTTTAGACTTTGCAGTTTTTACGAGTCCTCCATTTGGTGTTGCAAGTGAAAGAGGAAACGATCCGAGACTGTATGATAATACCTCCTTCAAATTGACCTCACGATTTTTTGCTATGACTAAAAGCTTGGCAAAAAAATTCCGGTTCATTTTGATGCTTTTTTCCTTCCCTTTTTGGCCACTCTGTACTTGTTTCCTCCTTCCAGAGAACGTTTCAATGCTGTTGCGCTCCAATTTTGTGAAAATATCCGGATTGTCGGAAAACAAGTTGTTTTTAGAAAATTCTGAGAACTGCCGCTCACCCAGTTGCTCTGCAGATAGAAGTCGATCTGCCACAGTGGTTTCTAACTCTACTCCACTTGCCAAATTTATCAAATGTTCTTGATCAACATCAAAAGGATGTGCCATTTGGGATATAGAAGTTAGTACGTCTTGAACACATTGCTCATAGCGTTTGCACTTGGAGTAATCAAGGTCTTTACGCTTTCTGAAATGCATGAAAGAGGATGTCTCCAACATTTGAAGGGAATTATAAATTTATTTACACGAAACAACCCGTCCTAACCCTAAGCTTCATAGCAGAATATGCGAATCAAATTCACCTTGGCTTATATTCCAACCCCGCCATGTAATTACACTTTCTTGTTATTGCTGCTCTCTGCGATTGTGATAGCATCCATCTTTGCACCGCTCCAGGATTCATAGAAATTCCAGTCAAACCACCCTTCGTCTTCGAATCGCGGTTTACAGTTTGCTCATTTGTTTGATCACACGCCACAGCAGAAAAACCATAGTTGTTTTGACGTTGTACAGCAAAGTTACATGATATTTCAGACAAGATTCCTATATAATAAAGATATATCACAATTGTTCGTCGTAATAAGCAAGACTTTAATTAAATGACACAATGACCAAATCCAACCTGGATGTGTCTGATCCAAAGCAACCATCTCAAGCCAATATGCAGACCCATATCTTGCATAGTTTATCCGATCACAAGCGAAAAACCATGGCAACATTGCTCTAAAGGTTGTCAAATGTAGTTTCCAGTTTATCTCCCTTGTAGCTCTGATAAACATCAACAAAATATCTAAAAAGTAGGAAGTATATCTAAAATTGATAAATTCAAAGTGTATGTCCTGTAGATTTGACCTTGTTACAACCTAGAAAATAAATGAGAGGGTTTATTGTTATTTACCTATCATTTTGATGTACATACTCCAGAAAGCAAACGTTCTTGATTTTGAGGATGCATTTTGTATGAAGTTTTCGTACTCTTCGCATATTTCCTCAAACAGTTCACTTTCAATACAATCGCGGAAACCTTTATCTGGAAACGAATTTGACATTTCACATAGGAATACCATTATTCTTCCATCTTTTTCTTCTTCTAAATCATCCAGGTATGCTTCAAACCTTCGTACAAAATTTTATGGCATGACATCGATCTATTGTAATTCTTTCCAGAAAGGACACTCTTTACGGATCCTTCGCTCACAACACCCGACTCAATTAACAGATCCTAAAGAACGTTTTGCGGAATCATTACTTTTAGAAACGTATTTATCTAATTGCCACTTATTTCTTGTACAAGTTTTATATGTGAAAATTAAGATATGAATTCGCACCTTAAGTCCTCCATCTTCAAAGAGCTTTGACACTGCAGATAGAAAAGACATGACAGTATGAAATTCTCCAAGACGTACGACCAGTTTATCATAGTAAACGGGTTCTTTCCATCGTATGTGCTGGACTTTAGAGTAAACTGCTTCATCAAAGACTAAGACAGCATATTGTAAGTCAAGCTTCTCTGCGATATTCTTGCTTCTTTTAAGAATTTCATTAATTGTAGAATATTCAGTTGGTGGCGCGTTTATAACTGGCAGGTAACCCACTCTCGATACCTCAGGTATTTCTTCAATAAGCATGGTGTTAAAGCCGGTCCATCCAGGCAGTGCTGTTTCATCAGTGACATGAACCATTTTCGTTAAAACATATGCTAAATCAAGCTTGTGAGCTGCTTCATTTAACTCATGGTTCCTATCAATGAGCATTGAACGGGCGACTTCATTGATATCAAAAAATATTGGAGTCTTTTTTGCCCCAATACTATATTCTGCTATGTTGGTATTCGGCATCTTAACAGTTCGCTGTGACTTTTTGACGATGCTGGAATTTTGCATTGTTATGTGTTGCTGGCCTGACAATTTCTGCGTTATAATTCCGTTTGTGACATGGGTTTGTTTTTTTATGTCCTCGCCAAAATCAATGTTGTCGTAAATCAGGTTAACATAATCTTTCTCTACAAACTCTTTGGGAACAATATTAGATGTATCAATAGTTGTTTGGGCAAGGGCAGAATCATACGCCATTGCGGATGACAAAGAGACACAGTGTCCAAGACCGTTCAAAAGGCTGATCAGGCTTGAACAGCCAGAAATTTGTCTAACAGCTGTTGCCAAGGCTAAGGATTTAGGCGTTTGCATTTTTCCTTTACTGCTAACGTTGATCAGATCTTGACATAATGAATAAAGTTTAATAGCGTTCTTCTCCCCTACTTCAACATATTCCGACAAGTCCGGGTCGTCTGAAAAACCAAGCATCCATGCGAGGAAATTAAACAGAGTTGGCGAAACAATTTTCCTAACACTCTCATTATTTATGTCAGAAGCAAGGGCGGCCAGTTTTCGTACCATATTGATTTTGTACTAGCACGTAGATTGCCCGTAATGTTAGCGCTACGTTAAATACTTCATTAAGGGTCGTCGTTTTATTGCAGCTGCCTTTTGGAACGTCATTGTTGAAAATTCATCTTCTGTGTCCATCTCACTTTGCGAAGTTTCTGTGTCTTCATTTAAATCATTTTCTGCCACAGTTCCTTGACAAAGACCTTCAACGTATACAATTTCACTTTTGTTCCGTTCTTTTGGTGAAAAGAAAACAATTTGAGGGAATTTCTTTCGCAATCTCTCTTTTAATCGAAAATTTCTATAATTTGACGCATCTGTGCCTTCAATTTCTGAAACTGTCTTTACAAACTCAGCTTTCATTCTCTTCATAAAAAAAAAATTTCTTCGTTCATCAGCAGTCTTTTCTTTACAAATCTTTCACAAAAAACATCAAAGGACTTTTCGTATTTGCATGCGTATCTGTCATAGTTTTCAGAATCATAAACTTCATCTATTACATTGCTGCGTCTTAAAAAAGCTAGTGTATCGTTCGTAACACCGTCTATGATACCTAACCTCTAAAGCTACACAATCTTTATCAGCAATATTTACAAGTATACTTTCATCTGAATTTTCCTAGCTGCTTCTCTTAATTTACCCCATCTTTTGTCTCTGCCATAACCAGTCGATCTAGCTTTCGCTTTCGAGTGCCCTATTAGTCATAAGTGAACATTTTTGGTGAAATTATTAATTATCAAGAAGACAAAGATTGTTTCTCACGTAAAAATTTTTTTCAATGCGGAAAAATATATAAGCGAGCTTTTAATGTAGGATGTAAAAGCTTTCGATAAAAGAAAAATACAATAAAATGTGTCACTTACCACTTCAGTCACAAAAGACTTTTCTTTTTTACAAATGATACATGTAGGCGGAAGTACATGTTTTGATTTTGGTGCAATGGCTTGTTTCTTCAGTGTAGATCTAAGTAGTTTTTTTGCCGATGTGCCTGTTATACTTTCGCCACCAGCAGGTAATAAATTGTCTGCAGTCGCATTAGTGTCCTGTCTTTCCCTCTCTTTGTACAATTCTTCAGGGAATTATTTGAGAAAAGTTAGCAGTTCAGTTGCTTAAAATCGGTTCTCCTTTAGATAAAGAGAATGTTGAATCTGCACAAAGGGTAGATTTGTGTGATAATCTACACATATGCATAGTAATTACGCATTCAGTACTTGTTTCATCCTCATTATCAGCCAGTCAGAAAGAGGTGGCAACATCAAGGTAAATGATGTTAATAAACAATGAAGGCATGGACTCATATGAACATTCAGACAATTGAGTTGTGAGCTTTTCACTCTCATGAACATGGTGTACAGCATCGTGACGTTTCTCGAGTAAATCCACAGGTACACGAGGTCATCGTCAGGAGTACAAACGGATTGACCATCTGCCTTGTTCAAAGTGTTTGATCGCCTCTTTTTTTTCTGTAACTAAAAATCCACAATGCTAGATTTAGTTTGATGTATAAATATATTTTTTCAGTTCGCTAAAAGTTAGTGAATTTTATTGCTGAATACGGACCTAATGTGCCAACTTTTCAAGTGGCCATGTTAATAAGTTATGACGTCATCAGTGAAACACGTTTTCACTGAATAAAAATTCTATAAAAGGCCATGCCAGTGAGCACTGCGTCCTTACGGCCGACATCATTCTAGGAAGATACTTTGTGTTTTTCACTTGTCTTCAACCACTGTAATTACATGACGTCATTTTTTCACAATGAAGTGGAAATAATTTCAATATAAGAAATGACGTCGTGTCATTTAAGTGGTTTGGAACAAGTGAAAAGTCCTAAACATCTTTTTGGAATAATGGCTGCCGATATGTGCGGCACAACATACGCGACGACAAAAACATCAAAGGGTCCGACACGAGTAACCTTTTGTATGTTTGATATTCTGTGACGTTTTGTTTGCAAACTACAGATCATTTATAACTGACGCTACATTTGTCTTCGTTTTTCTTTAATTATTTGCTTGAGTTCACAATATTCTAAAATAGGTATTTTAGAAACAGATCATAGGTATTTTAGGATATCGTATAACTAAATCAATGTACGTTATGTGACTTAAGCTTTTCAAGATTTTTTTAAGCTTTTACAAAATTTATTAAAAGTGGTGCTATGGAAAACAATACCCATTAGTTACCCTTATTCAACTGATTTTTAAAATTCTTCAAAATAATCCTAATATCTTCCGGAACATTTATATTGCGAAACTGCTAAAGTAATTAACTTTCATACAGCTATAGAAGAGAAATACCTTTACATACCTTTACTAAGATTCAAGGACGAGCGTAAATTATTTTTAAGTATGATTTATATTATAATCTAAACTAATTTGTAATTTTTTAGTGTATACTATCGTATTTTTTATCTTTTAACCTTTTGGACATCCTAAATGTTTTTTATTATGGAACTCTATCGCATAAATTCTAGAAATTTTTTTATTTTACTGAAATAATTTGAATGCAGTTGTCCTAATAAAAACAGCTATACTTTTTAAACTTACAAGATTGACCTGCTAAAATTTAAAATTATTATTATTATAGTATTATTACTATTTTTTTATCGCATGTACTGGATTTTTTTCATAGCTACTAAATATTGCAATTAAATTATACATTTTTGCTACAATATAGGCTGAAATTGTTCATATATACAATCTGGAAGCCAAACTGTGTGGAGCTAACTGAAGCCACAAATAATGGTGTGTATTATTTTATACTGCAGTTTATGCTCTTACAAATGTGGTCTATGTCTATACGGGGATTGTTGAAACTAAATTAGTCATGTCTATTTCATCCATTTTTTAAAGGATACGAAAATGGATGCTATTTTCAGAGCCATACCACTGAATTGTTTTCCCTGGTTTGAAAAAATACTGCTTTCTATCTATTTCACATTTACAATCATCGCTCCTGGAATTTCGAAAACATTTGATCGTCAAACTTCTTTTACTTGTAATGGCAAGATGATTTCAAAATTCCAAGAAACTTCTCTTATAAAGAATATTGAATCAAGATGTTTGAGACAATACCAAAATGAAACTTGGGATAATATATATGTGGTGTCCTTTAATTTCTTTTTCCTCTTTTTTTGGGGTATGATCTGTGGACAGTCTGTGGCCAATCGACTTAAAAACTTTGATAAGTTCTTGTCAGAAAGAAGCAGTGAAGTCAGAAAGGTTGCAACTAGTTCTTGGGCATTTAATTATTACATCATTTATTTGACTGTACGCGTGATCGGTTTGTCTATATTTGTTACAGTACTGTTTCCATCCATGTTTCCCATTGACTATTCTTGTTCGTGGCGTCCGACAACAAACAAAAAATCTTTGTTAAACAATATAATTCTTCCTCGATATAACGAGACATTCGTTAATTGTAAAATTCGCGATGGTAACAGTGAATGGTGGATTAAATTTGTTGTAGCTGTTGATGTTTTATCGATAATAATGACGATATGTCAACTAATATACCTATTAAATGAGGCCAGTAATGACAAGTTTTTCACATCAGATAAGGAGTTTTTCACGGTATACCTCTTTTCAAAACGTGCAGAGTTTCGAAATTGGATAAAAGAAATAAAAAATAAACCTCACTTGAACAAATTATTAAATATTCACGATAACGTAGGCAAGGCACAAATGTCTGTGCAAAATCTTGAAAATATTTATGTGAACGTCATAATGCAAGCTGAAAGACAATTAAGTAAAGCTTACCCAGAAACGCATGAAAGGCACGAGATCCTTCATTGTCATTTCAAACCTAATGAAAGTGCGAAAAAACTAACAAGAGCAACTGACATTTTTAAGCCACTTCCAAATAGCAAGTCGTATCCTAGCTCCATTTTAGTCATCGGAAGGCCAGGAATTGGTAAAACTATGTTGACGAAAAAACTTATTCATGAATGGAAGACAAATGAAGACGACTTTTGGCGCAATAAGCTGGTCATTTTATTGCAATGTCGTGCGATTAAAGAGAAGTACATTACTTTTAAAAATGTTAAGAAGTTGCGTTGGATTTTCATTTGAACAGTTTTCAGATATTTACGAATTCATAATGTTAAATCCTGAAAGAACTGTTCTTATGGTCGACGGTCTTGATGAATTATCTTTAGATAATGAAGATATTCAAACTGACGACTCAGGGTCCCCTAATGAAAAAAGGCACGTCATTACACACTTAAGTATGCTAGTTGAAGGTAAACTATTGCCTGATGTTACTGTTCTTATTACATCACGACCCACAGCTGAACGTAAATTTAGAGATATGGAATTCGCGAGGACAGTTGAAATCATGGGCTTTTTTGAGGATGAGATAAAAGAATTCGTGGAAAAGTTTTGTCATGAAGATAGAAATATTGCTGACCGTATTCTAAATAAGATTGAAATTTCTCTTGAACTTCGCAGCTTTTGTTATATCCCTATTAACACTAAAATTGTTTGTATGACCTTAAAGGAATGTTTTGCAGATGATGAAAACTACAGTCCAAAGACTATGACTGAATTGTACGATAGAGCAATTAAAGTTTTACTATGGCAAAGCCATCCACTTCTCAGGGGCAAGACTACAGAAAAGGATTACTTGAGAATTCCTTTACCATCCGAGCTTGATAAAGATCTACAAGAAATAAAATATGTTGCCATGGAAGGGCTTAAAGACGGACGCCTGATTTTTGAAAGAAAAAGTAACAGTAACTTTAAAAATCTGGAAAACTGTGGCATTTTCAATAAGATTTATGATGATGAACGCCATCTTTACTGTTTTCTTCATTTGACTCTTCAAGAGTTTTTTGCAGCGTGGTATATTGTTGACGATTGGCAAAACATTGGAAAGTTTTTGGATGATCATGTTCAAGATCCTAAATGGCATTTGGTAATCGAATTTGCTGCTGGTTTGGTTGGAAATGAAAAGAAAGAGAAGGGAAAAGATATCAGCGTTATTCTAGAGAGGTATTAAATTTATGATCAATGAGCATTTGTATCATTGAAAATGTTTGATTGTATCTTCATATTGTATGTGACTAGATGTATTTTTCTAAGTTAATTCATCATCACCAAATTCTTAACATTAATTTTGCCAGCCAGATCAGCAAATATTAAAGTAATGCCTCCTCGATAAGTTTTAAACTAGACTGTCGCGTAGAGTTTGGAAGAAATAACTTGGTGATCGATTTCTTTTGATCGTTTGCTGTATACTTCAGAAAATGGTTTTTACATGTTTGCGGATGTAGACCACTGTAGATCACTGAGTTGTTGCTTTTCATTAGAGTATTTGGATGCACTGGGAAGTTATTTAAACAGCAAATAAAAGACTTCAGCATAATGCACACTAAGATACATACAGATAAAGCCCATAAAATAAACCTTATGTTCAAGCATTAAGTGAAAAAATCTGCTTATGAGAAAACAAATCTAGTGGATTCTCCAAACACTACGTTCCAAAAGTGTAGGACTATTTTCGAAATCGTTTTAAAACGAACAACAGCAACAAGCAAACAGCTGTAAGCTATAACTTAAAACACAAATTATGAATTTAAGGTTTTTATCTTGATTTTCATCAAAAAATTGCTTGCCGAATCCGAAATACAAATATACATTTTGTGTATTTAGGAGTGGAAAATTGCGAAACTTTCAAAAAAGCTGTCAATTTCGGTAAATCTCAGCGGCAAAGGACAAAATCCTCCATTTTGTTGGCGTCATACAATATTCAAAGCCGCTCTTGAGATAGCCGCTTCAGTTATTATAGAACTCAATGGAGTTAGCATTCCAGATATATTTACTTCAATGGGCTGAGTTAAAGCTTACCCGCCTTTAACTTACTCAAAATTTGCAGGCGACGACCATTGAGTTCTATAAGACCTGGAGGGGAAAAGGCCTGGACCCCGTGGTCAAAAACATGGCGGTAATGGCGGATTTTGTTGGTCAAAACTTCCACTTTAAAATTTTTTCAATATTCACTCCTCCTGATTTCTAATACTGTTTATATGAACGAAAACAAGTGAGAAAAAAAACAATTACGATACCGACAGCATACCATGTGAAAATAATGCTTCAGCATTGCGTGAAAAACACAGTACACACACACATCAAAATAAAGAAAATTGACGGTAGAGAAACGCATATTTTGGCTGTAACATTTAAGTTATTTTATGACATTAGTAGACCTGTCAATCTCGTCAAACTTATACTTTATTTCATGCTTCTGTGCATGCGTTTGACTGTTTGTAAACAGTTTGGTGCAACAATTTTTCTTGCTCAAATGGATAAATCTGTGTAAAAATGCTCCTAAGGAAGCGAGAAAATGTTTGCTTCAGTTCTACGACATAAGTCAACTGAAAATTTACCATGGATAAGTATCATAAGTGTATTGTCATTACCTGATAAATCTACTGAAAACTCATAAAGAAAGTATGTTGAACTAGAAGAGCTACAAAAAAGAAAAAAATTCAAAACACCATGATATGTTGGTTGGAAATTTGTATTTTGTAAACAGCTTGGCAGAACCTTGGGTCTATTACTGAACAGAACTACATTAATTTTCCATTGAAATTACAAATTTGGAAACTAAAGTGCATTGGTTTCTCTGACAAAACACTGTCTATTACTGCATGAAGGCAAAATAATTAATTGACAGTGTAGGCGAAGAAATTTATCAAGTTCTATAGATATTATTGTGTATTACTTACAGTCTTTTGGAATTGTGTAATGTATGTCAAAAACAAGATATAATTTCTAAAAAATGCTAACCCCTTCAAGCACTACTACTCTTCTGCTTGCTTCAACAACTTACAGCTACCAATACTAATTATTTATATGTACAAACTAACAATTGGGAATTAAATGATAAACAACTTAATAAATCTTTGTATTTTCCATCACGCCTTTGAATCTGTTTCTTTTATCTCTTGATAAAAAAACCATTAATGAAAGACTTACAAATCAAGTTTCTCAAAAATAGTATTTTGTACAAAGAACTAAACATAATTGGAAAAGTCACATGCTGAAGACAGACTTTGCTTCTCTGACTAGGTTGCTTGACCATGAGCAATTTAAATTTGTTTAAAATTTGTTTAAAGAATTATTTTATTGATTTGTACTAATTCTTCGTAAGACAAAAAGAATTTCTTTGCCATCTATTTTTGCTTCCTCTACATTCAACTTCATTGTAACCAATGTATCCGATGTGAATTTGTGGATTACCTGGAATCATACCAAGTATGGATTTGGTGAGATGAGACAACAATATGTTTAATTTTTCATGCATATTAATGATATAATCATAAGCTATTGTTGAACAAAAATTTCAAGGTAGGAGCAAATCTTAGCACATTGTTCAACACACTTCTTTTATCTTGGTTTTGAAGTAGTAACCTGTTTACTATAACAATAAATACTTCACTTAAAGAAACGCGAAGTAGTACTTTACAACTGTTTGCATAAATCCAAATTTCCAAACCCATTATAATTGTCTACACTATGCAGTCAGTCAAATTGGGCAGGTAAGTAGTTTAATAGTTTCTTTATATTATACAGCATACACCGTAGTTCTCACTAACTTTGTATGGCACTGCATTCAATTTTAACACAACTCTGTTGTAAACTTTCCCTTTATCTTTAAAAAATAAATAAGAACAAATTCTGCCCAACTTTTGGGAGGTAAATTCAATTCAAATTAGGAGAGTTTAGCTTGATCATGATACAAGATGGATGCAAAACTCGATAAAAATTGGCAGCTTTACCACACGTCTGACGAGTGATAAAGTGAAGAACAAACAAGACTGGACAAAAATAACTTTAAATTAAAACTTAGTTGTAGAAATACTCTTCAAGTTTCGTGTTAAAAACAAAATAGTAAAACTACTACTGTGCTACTTACCGGAGTCATGAAATGTTTCCTTTTCTGTCGCTATTTCATCATCCGCAAACCACGGAAGCTTGCAAATTGTTTAATAAATGTAATTTTAAAAAGTGTTTATGTTAGGAAAATAGTTTTGATATTTTCTATACTCCCAATCGTGGTGGTCAAATCAGGGTGGGCGACAAAATTTTTATTTCATGAGCCCGCGTCTCTCCGCTGATTTTGGCCACCAAAATCCGCCCCATGTTTTTGACCACGCGGCCGCGCGCTAATAATTTATAGTAATTTTGTTGACGTTTCCCCTCTAGGTCTTATAGAACTCAATGGCAACGACGTAGTTGTTCATGCAACGTACTTGACATAGTCTGGATCCGCCCCTGATAAACTAAAGTAGATGTTTTGAACCCGGGAGTGTCGTCACTGTATAGGGATATACAGTAGGTGCACTTCGTGTGCAATTAGCTGCTGTATATTTAATTAGATTACTTGTGGCCGTTAGCCATGTTATTATTTCCATTGGTTAAAAAAAGCAATTTACTAGCTGCCACTATGGTAATCACATGCGTAAGAAGATATGCGCGGCACGAAAAAATTCAATGGAGTGGCTCTACTGTATATTAACTATACTGTGGTATCGTTACATGTTTGTGGCTAAAGATCGTCCAGGTCAGTAGAGTCATGAGAAGGAATGCTGGTATTGATATTACAGTCGTCAAGTGAGGAGTAAACATCAGGTTAGGCGTATTTATTATCTGGTTTTTACAGCGTCGTAATTTGTGCACAGGAAATGTGTGGGTGTGTTGGTTTCAATTGTGTTCTGTTTTTGTGGATTAGTCTGAAGTAATGAGTTAGTTGCTTGTTTGCTTGTTTTGTGAATGAGTCATTTGTAGGGTGCCTGTAATTGTTGTGATCTAAATGTATTACTTACAGCACTGACTATAGACAACGGCTTACATTAGAAAGTTGGTACACCAACTTAAAACAAAAACCCCTAAACAGATCACAATAACTACCGGCTCCTTACAAACGGCTCATTCACAATACAAAAACAAAAAACTAACTCATAACTTTAGACTAATCCACGTTAACAATACACAATTGAATACCACACTGCAACACAATTTCTGTACACACAGTACCATGACGTAAGAACAAGATAAAAAAAACGGCTATCCTGACGTTTACTCCACACTTGACTCTTAAGATGACTACCACTAAGGTTGTCGAAACGTCGGTCTACAGCAACAATAACAGTCCTTCTCAGAACTCTACTAACCTGGACAATTTTAATTCACAAACGTTTTACTCAAACCTCGTATATTAATGAGCATGTCAATAACTTTTTCTTTAAACCTAGCATGTTATTGAGCATCTCATATATATTCACAAAAAAACACCGGTTTTTCTGTTTCTAAAGCGTTGTTCCCATACAGTTGTAATTGTAAGTTAATCGCAGAAAAAGCAATCACTGACGTGAAACCATTGATATGGGAACGCTAATCGGCGATAGCAATCGACAACAAATTTAAATATTCGAATCAACAGATAGAAATTACTTGCTACGCAGCAGGGACTGATCTAGGTCTTTTGGAACGTAATTCAAGAAACGCCAGAAGCTTTAGCCATCTTGTAGGTTCTGGGAACATACTCACAGGGAAAATTTTGATTTTCAACGTCTCGGAAGTTCAATTTCCGGCATTTTAAAGCAAGTGCTAATCATATTTTGTAAGCGTTGTTTGTGCATAAAACTAACAGTTTAGTAGCATTTTTAATTGAAATGGTGAACGATACTTACTTAATTGGCTGTTTTTCCTAAATTTGGGACTACGCAGCATGCCTAGGAAACACATATTGCTAAAAGCCTGGCAATATGGAGTTATGAAACTTAAGCTTTAAAAAAGCAAAAATTATCAGAATTTTTAGTCAACAAAATCATGATGTTAGTAGTGGATAATTGTATTTTAAAACAAATAATGATCTAAATAATAGACAAATTGAGCAATTTCTAAAAAGTTGCTTGTAGGCTCAGAATTTTCACCATTATGCCGATTGGCTGCCTTGGGGCTCATGTTATTTTGTTAACTTTGAGTTGATATTCAAGGTAGAAGCATGTACAAAATTTTCGAACAAAATTCACTGAACAAAATTTTCGCATACTTAAAAATTTAGCCGGACCCAAAGCTCATTTTCCCTTTTTATTTCAATCGATTTTTTACGCGTTTGCACCAAAGTATAATAGGCCGTCTTTGTGCAAGAAGAAAAGTCGTCTACTAATTATTGCCATTAAGAACACTAAGGTAGGCTAACGCATGTACGTGTTTTTTTTTTAAATATCGGCGTTGAGAACAGGGAATGATCTTTGTACTTATGGGTAAATATCACATTTAATTACAACAATTACAACTATATGCAATTACACATATTTCGAAAATGAGTTTAAAAAAAAGGCTTTTGAAAGAGAGACAAACGTCGTAGAAAGTTTGTGTGTAGAGAGATTCCTGCAAAAACGATCCAGATAAAAGTAGCTATAATTTTACATGACAAATAATCTCTTTTACATCTATATACAGTAGAACTTGTTTTAAGCAGCCACAAATAGGGATTTCTCGTGTGACCGTTTAATACAGGTTGACGACTTATTGCAAGTTGACCGTTTATTATAGTTCTTTATGAAAGTCACCAAATGGGCTACGTGTAACATTTAACAAACTAAAGTTGACCAATCGGTATTGTTCGTTAACATGCCAATTAACAACACTATATAAATCACTTTTTTTCTTAGTTTTAACTAGAAATTAAAAATAGTATAAATAAAAATGTCACGGCTCAAACTGCTGAAAAATAATCATTGGCAAGCGTGTGTCAACAGAGAAGATGTTTATAACTTATATATTCCGTGCCTATATCCCTTTTTTGGAGATAGGTTTTCTTGTCAATGGCTGAAGGGACGTAAGAAACATTAAATTGCTGGATTATTTGTCCGCACAAACAGAAAATATTGTTGGATCTTTTGAGTCATTTTATGGAAGATAAATACAATATAAAGACATGTATACCATATAAGTGATATGTTCCAACAAAAATATTTAATTATATATTTTATTATGGGGTGTACCTACTTAACCTGACCGTTTAATACAAGTGCAAAATAACAAAAAATTAAGCTTAGCACATTGGAAAAGGTGACCGCGTCCGTTTAATAGAGATGTCCGTTTAATAAAGGTCACTTTAATAGTATTTGCACCAGGAAACTTTGCCATATAACCGCTTAACAAAGGGTGACAGCTTAATACGGTGCCGCTTAATACAGGTTCTACTGTTAAAGTAAAATTACAAATATTTTGCTTCTTATAAACTTGCTCCGTGGCGCTGTGAGGCCCATTTTAGTACATACATGACATACAGATATACTTTGTTTTTTAATGAAAGTTTTTGGCGAATTAACTAATTAAAACATGCCTAAATAAACTTTGACCTCTCTAACCTCTTCCAGTCAACTATCACGCTGCCAACGCAACTGAGCTAGTTGTTCTGAGAAGCAGCAAGGAGTTTTTACTTTCATGTAATATTAATTTGCACTTGGCTTTGGTAAACTTTGTGTGCATTATCTGATTTATTTTAATTTGCGACTGAAAGATTATAGCTAGCTATTGTTACCATAGTTGTTTTACAAAAACTTCTCATGTCAAGATGCTTTTCTGAAGGGCTTTATTTTTCTAAACAAATTAGACCAAACACTTAACAGTTTCACAATACGATATTTTTATAATTACAGGTTAGAAAGTTGGATGTCACATTTATTTTTCTCCGAGGGTAATAAAGCACTTGGGTTTCTTGGAATGAAGTGTTTATACGAATTACAAGACGACGATGAGATGAGATCAGTTTGCGAGTCGAATAATTTCTCTGAAACAATATCCATTGACAACGTTTCTTTCACGCCTCTTGATTCAAACGCCTTCTTTGAATTTCTCTCTGAATGCCGACAATTAAGAAAACTCGCGTTTTTTTCATGCCAATTTCCTGATAATCATAGCGTCATTAGATTGTCAAAATATTTGACAAATGCAACAGCATGCAATGTATTTTCTTTGAAAATCATCTCCTGTTCTGTTAAAAATATATCAAAACATCTTAGTGAAGCTTTAAAAAATGAAAATTGTAAACTTAGTGAATTGGAAATTAGAAAAAACAATATAGGTGAAGAAGGTGCTAAATATCTTAGTGAAGCTTTAAAAAGTGAGAATTCTAAAGTTACTAAATTGTCTCTTGATTATAACAATATAGGTGAAGAAGGTGCAAAATCTCTTAGTGAAGCTTTAAATTGTGAGAATTGTAAACTTACTAAATTAATTATCAATGGTAACAAGATAGATGATAAGGGTGCAAAATATTTTAGTGAAGCTTTGAAAACTGAGAATTGCAAACTTGCTGAATTGTCTCTTGAAGATAACAGTATAGCAGCTGAAGGTGCAGGGTATCTTAGTGAAGCTTTAAAAAGTAAAAACTGCAAACTAAGTGAATTGGATATTCGTTTTAATAAACTTAAAGATCAAGGTGCTAATTTGCTTATTCAAGCTACGAAATATGAGAACTGTAAACTTACTAAATTGAAGATTTGTGGCAACAATATAAGTAAAAATAGTGCTAAATATTTTACTGAAGCTTTAAAAAGTCAAAATTGTAAACTTACTGAGCTTGACGTTCACTTTCACACACTAAACAATGAAAATACAAAATCTCTTAGCAAAGCTTTAAAAGTGAGAATTGTAAATACACTGAACTCTATATTAAAACTTTCTAACTGGAAGAAAGGCTAAATGTTTAGTGAAGCTTTAAAAGTGAGTATTGTAAACTGATCAAATTGGATATTATTCATACTAAAATAACAGCTGAAGGTGCAATGTATCTTAGTGAAGCTTTGAAAAGTGAGAATTGTAAACTTACTTCATTGTCTCTTACTCTTAACAATATAGGTGATGGAGGTGCAAAATATCTTAGCGAAGGTTTGAAGAGTGAGAATTGTAAGCTTACTAAATTGTCTCTTAATAATAACAAAATAGGTGATGGAGGTGCAAAATATCTTAGCGAAGCTTTGAAAAGTGAGAATTGTAAACTTACTAAATTGTCTCTTGATAGTAACAATGTAGGTGAAGAAGGTGCAAAATCTCTTAGCAAAGCTTTGAAAAGTGAGAATTCTAAACTTACTGAATTGGATCTTCATTCTAACGAGATAGGTGATGAAGGTGCAAAATCTCTTAGTGAAGCTTTGAAAAGTGAGAATTGTAAGCTTACTAAATTGTCTCTTTATCATAACAATATAGGTGATGGAGGTGCAAAATCTCTTAGTGAAGCTTTGAAAAGTGAGAATTGTAAGCTTACTAAATTGTCTCTTAATCATAACTATATAGGTGATGAAGGTGCAAAATCTCTTAGTGAAGCTTTGAAAAGTAAGAATTGTAAGCTTACTAAATTGTCTCTTTATGATAACTATATAGGTGAAGGAGGTGCAAAATCTCTTAGTAAAGCTTTGAAAAGTGAGAATTGTAAGCTTACTAAATTGTCTCTTAATCTTAGCAATATAGGTGATGGAGGTGCAAAATCTCTTAGTGAAGCTTTGAAAAGTGCGAATTGTAAACTTATTGAATTGGGTCTTGATACTAACAAGATAGGTGATGGAGGGGCAAAATCTCTTAGTGAAGCTTTGAAAAGTGAGAATTGTAAACTTACTGAATTGTATCTTTCTTATAACAAGATAGGTGATGAAGGTGCAAAATCTCTTAGTGAAGCTTTGAAAAGTGAGAATTGTAAACTTACTAAATTGACTCTTAATAGTAACAAGATAGGTGATGAAGGTGCAAAATCTCTTAGTGAAGCTTTGAAAAGTGAGAATTGTAAACTTAGTAAATTGTATCTTTTCTTAACAAGATAGGTGATGAAGGTGAAAAATCTCTTAGTGAAGCTTTGAAAAGTGAGAATTGTAAACATACTTACATTAGATATAAACTTTAACCATTTATTATATAAATTAATTCGCTAATTACTTTAAACATGCTTTAAGAATATATATTTGACCTTACAGTGTAAACAGCCAGTACTCATATTTTAATAAAATTAATTGAATTGTCCTGTTTTTTGCGTGTAAAAAGCACCTTTCTTCATATCAATTTATGGTCTTTTTCTAGCATACTTTCAATACTGAATCATAGTTCTACCTAAAGAACATTTTAATCAAATTATTTGATACATTGTAACTGCGACGGAAATGTGTTCTTTGTTTTTGTTTGTTTGTATCAATTTCCTATCTTTTGGCCAGCATACTTTCCTTATAGAATTAGTGCTATACAAGTATGAAAACAAGTTTAAAAACTCCTGCAATGTTTCTGAAGTTTCTTTTAAAGATTTTTTGCAGATGTAAATGTCTACCAGGACATATAGGTACATGTTAAATAAATAGATGTTTTTAATCATAATTAACTCAATATCATACCGAACGTGTTTGCCTCAGAGAGGTGGCTAGCATGCAAGTTAATTTTTGCAATGTTCATTCTAAAATCTGTTCACTTTGGAAATCTTCTGGTTAGCAGGATGTTTAAATAAACTTGTTTTTTGGCAAAACTAAATAATCATGCTGGTTATGTCAATGTGACATCAGGTTTTATTTTTCCTGAAGATTGGCAAGCGACAATCGGTAACATGGTAATCCCTGAAAAGGCAGTAAAAACATTATATGCATTGACCTTTGTGTTACGTTTTTGCCATTAAACATTATCATAAAAAACTCATTTCAATATACTATATAAATGATTAACTGAATTAAAGCATTATAAAGTGTATGTAGCATTGTATTTCATTGCAAACCTCAAGTATTTGTAGTGTTGAAAAATAGTAAATTTCTATGAGTTGTTAAAACTATGATAGTTGCTGCAAACCGCGGAAGTTAACAAACAATTAATGATGTTCATAAATAAAGTTGTAAATATAATTTTATAATTATTGAGTACAGGTCTCATGTTTTCTTCACATTACTTATGATCACATGCCATATCAACTCGCAAGTGTCTTATACACACTTACACATGCTCACGAAAACTGTCAAGTTTAAAAATTTAGCTACTACACTACTCTCTACATTTAATTATATTTTCATCTTTTTTGTATTTCCTCTTAAAAATCTAATTGAATTAAAACAACTACCAAGACTACACATCTCTTTAAAATTGTGGTTGGACGCCACAATCAATTTTTTTCAAATTAATGAAACAATTGGATCACAAAATTTAAGTAATAAATGATTGATATCAACTACTCAAACTTCTTGAGACTTTTCAGCCTTTGACGCCTTGTCATTGAAGAAGCTTGTTTTTTTTAAAGGTATTATGAGGCAGAGACATACGGCATAGGTTAGTAAAATTGTTTCTTAAATTTATTGATTATAACAGTGGAGATATTTTGCGTACGCAAAAAGTATTCCTGAAGTGTTTTTTATTCTTTAATATCTCGCAATAAACTTCAGAAATTGAAATAAAGTAATAACGCCATTGAATGACTTAATAAAATATAACATATTTTTAATCGCACATAAATTTTATTGCTAGAACGTTTGTAAACGAAGACAAAGGCAATTTTTGTGCGACCATACAGCATCTGCATACAATTATATAAGGAAGATTTGTATTGTTTTAGTTATCATAAAACGAAGTCTTTACTAAAATCATGCAATTTTCTTTGTTCTGTTTTCAGACCAAATCTTCGATCTTTCACAAAAATTATCAGTACAGTTTTTAAAATTCAAACGACCCACTCTATGTACAAACAAATTTCGCCTAATTGGTCACGTGCCAGTTTGCTTGTTGTCATTTGCGTTGAATATTTATTAGTCTTAATGAACAGACTCATCACCCAAGATTTACAGCGTTTAACCTATATTTCTGGAACTCTTATTTTCACCAATACAACATGTGCTCAAACTTGACAAAGAGCTACAAGATTATAATGTAGCACATTTAAATAGTTTTTGAGTATTTCAACCAGAGTACTTTAGCATCGTAATCATGATTTCATTGTTTACTTCATGCTTAAATCACTCTAAATTTTGTGGTAAAATCAGGCAAAGTTCAAATAATATAAACATAAATATATTTTTCAGATTGATACATAACAAGGCAAAAGATTTGCTAATAATGGCGTACATGAATTTTGCGTTATACGTCATGCAAGAACTCTATTATATTTATAACTCATTGAGTACAATTGTTTGAGTTAAAATCATATAAACTGGTTATTATTGCATCCATAGGCGTAGGAAGAGGATGGGGGGACTTGGATAGGGGTCTTTAGTCCCCATGAAGTAAAAATCGGGTCTTACCTACCCCTTTAAAAATAGGATAACATTGCCAAAACATTATTACGTTATTACGTTATTGTCTTTAACAATATGTGTCCTGTAAAATATATATTAAAATATATTTTGTTCTAATCACATAAAAATTTAAAAAAATTATTGCTGTGGACGAGGCTCAAGTTAGTGGTGTGACACTGGTGCACTGAATGTGCAACAGTACAAGATAATGTACTGAAACTCAATGAAGAAAAATTTATAGGGGAAAAAATGTGCCACCGTAAAAATTTCCTATTCTAATACCTGCTCTGACGCCTGCTAAGATTTATAAGAAATCCAAGAATACAAGAAATACAAAGCCACCAAAAATGGCAATTTACAGATAGATGACGGTAAATTTGGAAAAATTAAATTTTGCACTTATACCTTAGTCTCTAATCATATGGCTTAATCCAATTCCCAACTACTTAACTTTGCAATCCAACCATCGTTTATTTTAAAACTTTGTAGAGTAAAATTGAATTTGTTGCTGAATTGTCCTTTGTTGCGTTTCTACTGCATTTAATATCATTCATGTCCACAGTCATCATGGCCACTGCAAAAATGGCTACTGATGCCTGAAAAACTCAGTGAACTGACCAAAGTCCACTCTAGCCTCAAAATTAAAAACTTTTAATATTTTTCACTACTTTGATTCAATCACAGTACGTATTTGGTTGTTCTGCTCATATCATCTGACAATATCAAACCAATTTTATTTACGACTGCTGTTTGTAGTTTAACCAATGAATTGGTACATTTAGTACATGTAACATTTCATAGGCAAGGAGAAAGTATCATGTTTTGTCTCTTCTGGTCGTTCGCTTGTGACCCCATCATGCAATATTGCTAAAATGTTTCGTGCTTAAGTACATACTATCCGATTTTCTCAAACTATTTCTTTGTCGATTCACTGTAAGTCGACCAACAACCAAACTCACCAAACAAAGGCATTCTGATTTGTGAATTGCGTTTGTGGTGTCATGTCTCTCCTTAATTATGCTTTGTCACCAGCTCCCTCTTGAAGAAATTCCCGTACACGTTCTTCTTTGAAATGTGATGGATGTGATCATCTCATCAGGCAATAAAAAGAAGATCATGGCCGTATCATATGACAGCAATGCTGCCAAAGGCATTGTTGATGTAGAAAAAACATCGTCTAGCATGGAGACAGAGTTACAGACATGCCAACTTCCTGGACTAACTTGAGATCTATAATCGCCTGAATCGTCAGATTCGTCCTCTTCGACTTCGTCTACACATCGTTTTAATGTGGACGCCATATTGGTTTGGTAAATTACCATTCTGCGTGCCGAAAATGCACGTCACGCGTCAGCGTAGCTGCTTGCAGGCTGCGCCCAGGCTCCCCCTGAACTCTGAAACTCGCAATGACCAAGTTTGATGCATTATGCCACCGCATGGCTCGTCAATGCGATCAAGGGAGACGATCCGATCGTACTATCTGATGATATGACACAAAGGAACTACACCAATAACTATGTCTACAAAAATTTATAGACCTTTTAAGGATTTCCATTTTATTTATCGTGAGATATACGAAAAATCGTAAGACCGTGAGATTTACATCAAATCGTGAGTCTCACAATAAAATCGTGAGACTTGGCATGTCTGGAGTTAGATAAATTACGTCATGCATTTACGAGTTCCATAACAACAAGAATTACTACTTGTATGGACATTAAATTATTCAGATGTTTCTCTTGTAAAATATCTTATCACTCAGGGGCGGATCTAGGCTATGTCAAATCAGTCACTCGACATATGTTTATTGTTCAAAAATTATTTATCAAATTTAATGATTACGATTTCTTTACATCATCAATTTTCGTTCTGTAATCGTTTGGATTTCATCGTCAAAATTCTGTTTCATGTATGAAAACTTATACAAATACCACTTTAGTAAACAGATCAGTAGATAGAAACAAATCTAGAATTATAATAACTGGCTGACTGATAAGCGGGATGGCTCGACTGGTTCGACCCATAACGGAGTTCAAGAACATTTATTTAAGCCATTCCATTGGTCTATAGCCAGATCAGTGGATGATCTGGAATAATCTCGACCGATTAGCGGGCTGGCCGGTTCTATAAGGTTGTCCACTTGCTGTCGTGTAGTTTGTTCGTTTAAATTTTTGTTATTCTGTGATTGGTTTGACCGATGTCGACTGAAAGCCAACTAAAAGGGCTAATATTCTTTCTTGGTATCACAAATATCTGGAAATATCGATACTTGGTACAATATCAACCCATCGTATCCCTTCATTGATTTTATCATTTATGTACAGATCAGAAGCGTGCAAGATTCTAAAATCGAAGCTCAATTTCAACTGTCGGTTTAAGGTGAAAACGTGCTGCAAAAGTTATCAAGATATTTGGGCACCAGTGTATTTAAAGTAAGTCAATATTTAATCATTTTGTGCTATTAATGTCATATGCATGCACGCTAGTTTGTATAACAATAATCATTTACCAAGATGATGTTCATTACTATAATAATCTGTTGTACATATCTTTCACCACAAATTGTGGTGTAATGTTACCAAACTAATACTTTAAGGAACAGGCTTCCGCAGAATGAGAAAGTTTTCTTAGGAATTCAAAAACTTGCGTTGCTCTGTCTGATTTTAAATTTAACTCAGATTGATGAAAGCATGGCAAATTTTTTATAACAAATTTATTAAAGTGGCAATGATTAAAACAACGTTCAAGCAACTCTTTTATATCGACCAATTATTACAACGAAAAAAAATAAAATTTCTGAGTTTCTCGTTCATTCGTTGAGTCATTGAATTTTTTATACATTTATGCGGCTGGTGTAGCCTTCTATCATGAAGAGAAATCTAGCACAAACAAATAGGTTTGCATGCAAAGCCCACATTTATTGCAGTCGTCGCTTCTTTAAAATATATTTTGCCTTCACAATTTAAAACAAGGTCGACATCTTAGGTTGATGGTTGGACAAAGAAGTTTAAACGTGATAGCACTAAAATACATAAAAATAGTCCACAAACAAACATTTCCTCAGCTTTTAAACAAAAATTCTCTCAAGGTTCTACTGACGTTGAGACAACGCGATTTCAACGTGTTTTAGCTATAGTTAGGTAAGCTTCCTCAAAACTTTGTAATACGATCCTCACCGCACGTTTTAGTCGCGGTGCGAATCCTTCATATTGCATTTTGTGTATTTGAATTTTCAATTCCTCAAGATCTTTGCTCACCGTTAGAAGGTAGATGTGAATGAAACTATTCTTGGTACGTTTTACATGCTGCGCATGGATAGAAATTCAAACATATTTGTTGTGCATTGTAGCAAATTTGAATTTATATTTTCTTAGAACAAACATTCTCAGGAATTTTTCTAGTCGCCCACGAACAGAGGTGTAACTAGAACGGTAATTGGGGGGGGGGTGTGCATATTCATATAGTCCGTCGTTCCCCAGTGATTTTTTTTGAAAGTGATTTGAATTTCAAAAGAAATCAGTAGGACACAACTGAATATATGAATATACACCCCCCCCCCAATTAACTTTCTAGTTACGTCTCTGCCCACGAAGACATCGTTCCTTTAATGCTAATTCTTCAACAACAAAAAACGTTAAATGTGAATATAATTAAATTGATTTCAAAATCCATTTCGAGGATTTAAACCGAAGTTTTTAATTATATAACACAGTTACACTGTCTTATAGAAATCAAAACAGAATTGTATTAACCCGTAGTTAGCACTCATCACTAAGCTTTTAATGTCTTGGACTGCTGGCTCATGCGTGTCAAAAAAGCTAATATTCTTTCTTGGTATCAGAATAACGGAAATATAGATACTTGGTACATGTATAAGCCCACCCCTTTATTGATTTTGTCATTTCTGTGCAGATTAGAAGCGTGAAAGGTTCTTAATTTGAAGCTCAATTTCGACTGTCAGTTTAAGGTGAAAACCTGCTGCAAAAGTTATCAAGATATTTGGCCATCAGTGTATTTAAAGTAAGTCAATATTTAATCATT